TTATGCTTACTTGCTTATATCTTGGAGCCTGGTGGTGAGTGAAGCTAAGGATGTATGGATGATAGTATTGGTTAGGGGGTTACCCTGTAGCTGTTGCGGTGGACGAAGGAGAATAAGACTGAGGTCTGTCTTCCGTCCACCCTGGTCTTATATACATGCAGGGAGTGCTACTGTATAGTACTTACATAAGTACCTTCCATGCTACCTATTGGCTAGCTCTTCCCTCATACGATGTCTTTGTATTTACTTGATTGGCTGCCTATATATAGTGCGGCATGACGGAGCTCCGTCTGACGCTGACTGAGCCCTTCGAGATAGAGACCTGGGGCCAAGTCATGCTGACTGTGCATTAGTCAGGGTCGGGGTCGGAGCCGATGGCTGTATGGCTGAGTCACGTAATCTTGTGAAGTATTTACATAAGGCCGATGACCGACCTTGTCACATGACTTGATGAAATGAAATAAATGTAATAAGTATTATCTAAGTTTAAATATGTATGCTCCAAATATGGGTTATTCCTAGAAACCGTTACAGCGAGCAACTTCAAGAAGACTCATTAAGACACATGGCGTGAGGATTGCAAGTGCTCCACCGATAGTCAACTCACTGCTTTCTCTACATTGCCCACTGGCTCCTCGTACTGTGAGTGCTTGATGAAACGGATATACGTAGCAGCACTAAACAGTGACGCTGAGAATGTTTCCATATGTTAAGGGCATGGCTTCTGGTAGATGCAATGATTCTCTGCACTGAATGTGAATACGTGGCTTTAGGAGTAAGCAAATACCAGTCTCAACTCAGCGATGAAAACTCCTGGCAGGTCATTGACACCGGTTGCAGAGACAAATGTTGATGAATGCCAAATTTTCATGTTCTGAAGTGGCCAGTGCGAGATAGCACAGTTAGCGCATGAGCATCATCTTTGGTCTTCTTTTACCAGTGGTAGAATCAGAGCGGACCGTGAACCAGCTCAATATTCCAAAGTGCGATTTAGCTAGTGAGCAGTGAGCAGCATAATGGGTGTGCATTCATTCGCTGCCACATGCGACTTGTAGAGAGGACATCACGTGTCAAGCGAAGGCCTGGAACATGATGCTTTGATGCGGACATTGTGCGCTTTCTCGAAGATCTATGAAGGTCCGACCTATGGTGCGGATTCCGGCGGAATCTGCCAGCGGATTCTGCCGGATTTCTGCCTCGGAAGTAAGGTGGCTCACCGGCAATTTCTCGTAACCTACATATGTTTTGGAATGTCTAGCATGAAATCCTGTAACAAGGTCACTCACCAGCAATCTTTGGTGATGTAGATACATTTCTGAATTGCTAGCATGAAATCCTGGTAGCTCACTACCAATTTTGGCTGGCCTGAATATGCTGCAGCATGAAATCCTGGTAGTAAGGTAGCTCACCTGCAATTGTTGGTGACCTAAATACATTTTTGAATTTCAAGGTAGCTCATCAGCAATTTCTGGTGACCTAGACATGCTTTTGAATTTCTTTCCTGAAATCCTTGTAGCTCACCAGCAATTGCAGGTAACCTAGGCAGTCTTTCTACCATGAAATTCTTATAGCCTGCCAGCAATTGCAGGTAACCTAGGCCATCTTTTGAGAAGCAGGATCAATAATGCACAGTACTTCTTCAACATGCCTATGGACTGCAATCTGCTGTTGACGGGTTTCTACCATGAAACTCACTAAGCAAGGTGGCTTAATGGTAAATTTTTGTAACCTAGACATGAAATCCTAGTAGCAAGGTAGCCCACCAGCAATTTCTGGTAACATTAATGGATTTCACTGTACAAATCCAGCAATCTGTCAGATTTATCAAAAATTCAAAAACATGTCTATGTTTGTTGTTAAGCTACTTTGGTGCTGAGAATTCATGCTAAAAATTCGAAAATGTGTCTTAAGTTGCCAGAAATTGCCAGTGAGCTACAAGGCATTCATGGTAGAAATATAAAAACATGTTTAGGTCACCAGAAATTGCAGTTGAGCTACCTTACTACCAGGATTTCATGCTACAGCATATCTAGTTTAGCAGAAATTGCCAGTGACCTACCAGGATTTCATGCTAGCAATTCAGAAATGTATCTACATCACCAAAGATTGCTGGTGAGTGACCTTGTTACAAAATTTCGTGCTAGACATTCCAAAACATATGTAGGTTACGAGAAATTGCCGGTGAGCCACCTTACTTCCGAGGCAGAAATCCGGCGGAATCCGCCGGCACATATCCGCCGGAATCTGCACCGTAGGTTGGTCGTTCTCGAAGATCTTGCTAACCGAAGCTCCGTCGCAGAGAGTCCATTACAGCCCCAGCGTCGCATTCAGAGTGGTCAGCAATGCACTAGCACCGCGGCATGCGGTGAGTGTCGCTTTCGCTGGCCAAATGCGCATACTGAGCTGACACAGTCCGCAGTTGACTTTATGTTCATTTGCCGGCACGTATTGCTCCGAACATACACACACACCGAGTCGGATCTCAAGAACACGCATCCACCGACGTTTGCTCGTGGAGGCCCCAGATGTTACGCGCCGATACCGATGGTGCCTGCGAGAAAAGGACGGATTCGAGCACGGCCGATGCTCAGAACTCCACCGATGCAGGAAGCGCAGAAACTCCCCACCTCGTCCTTCTACAAAGCAGCAGAAACTCTAATCAGCTGCCGCTGACGTGGTGGCTTTATGTTCAACCAGTGACAGTCTCCATATCTCGGCATGGTTTCCTAACACGCCCACGGTGCAGATGCACATGTCCGACCTGCACATTGACCCTCGTCCATGGGGCCCCCTTTACCATATTCATTTATGACACTGATGTGCAATCAGGTTACACGATTGGCGACGAAGCGAATTGTACAGTGTACTTGTGCTGTCGTCCGTCGAGCTACAACGAATACAGTCCCAATGTGACGACCCAGCCCGCTACACGAAATGATGCCTACTATTGGTAGGGTTGCCTGCATGTCGAGGCGAATTTCTGCTTATCATACACCTAGTGATACACCATATAACTTGACTTTGGCTGCTCTTCAAGCTGTTCCTGTGCCGACTGGAACGCAGGAGAATGGATTCAATTTCACGATCTACACTGACGAGCTGGTCTCGCATGACGACGAACACGAGCTGTCCAGGTAAGCCTGAAATGTGTGATGAACGATGTCTGTGGCTAACAATTGACTGCTAGTAATACACTGTGTATACTGAGATATCTTGGAGTTCTTCTTCCTCAGAGGTCACGACGTTCTCTCATATTCGACTCTTGGCCCTGTAAAATCATCTTGAAACGACAGATCAACTCTGGCCCGTCTATGCTGTTCTGGGTAATCATGATTCATATAATGAGTATGTGCCGGTACTTTATGCACGGCAAAAGTGCTGAGAGCTTCAGTCACAGAGCGCAGTCCTCCCGTTACAACATCGAGGAAGAACTGGAAGGCCAATTCAACTGTTTCGTTTACCTCACATGTCCAATCGTGATGTTCTTCCATTGTTGCACGGGATGAACGTCTAGGGATTATGATCACCTTGCCGCTTTGTGGGGGCTGGAAGGGTGGATCTCGGAGACGACCGCACAACAAGCTCGCTCGCATTACTCGGCTTATTCAGTGCAGCGTAGTGATGGGCTTAGGATTGTCACTCTTAACACCGATATGTGTGAGCGGGAGTTCAGAAGCTCCGTTGGCCTTGCGTGCTCATCATTCTCCCGCGTACAGGGTACGGGCGTGTGTTCTCACATTCTTGCGTCGTCCGACAACTCCGGCATGCTCAGGTTCTTGACCGACGAGCTGCAGGATGCTGGTGATCGAGGCATGTAACGGCTCGAACTGTTTCAGAATGTGTTCTAACGTTCATGTATTCTGGATTCTAGGCCATGTCTTGAGCGGCTGGAGTGGTAGCAATCCTTTGGAAAACCCGACTAATTTGCGTAAGTCGCGATTGATAAGATAACTTGAAATGGAAGCTCATTCTCTCGCACTATGCAGTCTATCAGATGTACGTGTCAAGACGCTAATTGCCATGTGAAGAGTGTCAATATTCACTTCATGGTTTGAGTGTCGACCGGTTCTCTCCTCATGTCATCACTGGTATGTTTCTCGTAACTCCGCTTCTTGAGAATCTTCGTCATTTCCGAGTGTGGCTCGAAATGACGAAGATTGTCAAGAAGCGGAGAAAGGGCGAGAGTGGAGAGAGGATTCAAGCGGAACAACATAAGAGGTTGTGCAAACTGTGTGGGCGCAATGGATGGATCCATCGGCTTTTATACAATGGAAAACATAGGTAGTTCTCCGGCAGGCTAACACGAGAACGCGAGCAATGTAGAATCAAAGTATGCTCCTGGCAGGATATGTCAGAAGAACAGTATGCACCGAGCATATCTCTCTCATATACCTTGAGGAATTGATAATAAATTGCTTCTTGCACGCTATGATACGGAAGTCAACATTCTTGAGTGCCACAACCTGCAGATAGACTTATTATGGCCTGAACCTCCAATGAACAAGATCAGCTCTCGCAATTTCGCCAAGAGCGCGAGCAGGTGCACCACGACGTTTGCATCAACCGTCCAGCGCTCCAGGAGAAACGTCGGACCCAAGCAGCGTCTTCAGGGTTCTTTCGCAATCGGCGATACAGTTGGATGACCTAATCGCCATGGCTCAGCCGTATGCGTTCAAATAATGATATATCGGTATAGACGAGCGTGCGGCAGCGCGAAGGAGAGCGAGAACAGTTTGCTGGAGATCTTCCGATGGTATGTGCGATAAAATGTAAGTATATAGCTCTGGAGGCAACGACTCTATAGGCGCAAGCATCAATAATGACGATGACAGTGGCAGGATGCAATAGATTGTGCGTGCCACATGTCATCACAGAATTGGACCGAAAGCTAAGACAGCGTCAGAAATAATGAATGGAGCCATTCATTACGTTCGCAGCCTACTCGCGGCTGTACCTGATGGATTTATCTCCGACCCGCATTGTAGGCAGGATTTCCATTGTCACATGCGGGCTTCGTGGCGGCGAAACGTGCGTCTGCAAAATAGCAGGATACGCTACAAAAGTAAAAGTCATACCAAGTATACGGGTACATTCAGGTTTTGAGAACACATGTGCAATTCTAGTCGCTCTTCTAGGAAACGAACCAGCTGATCCTGCCCCCGCCCGCGTTCATCGTTCGTGACTCTCTCTACTACCTTCTCATCAGGGTGTGCAGAGTGAGGTCCAATTTCGTTCAATGCAGCAACAACCTTGTTCGCAGGTGTAAACCAGCTGCTGTCCCTATCAAGCACTGTATGCAAGTGCTTCTTCTTGATCTGCATCATGTACATTCTGCCATCTCGCTAGGTTAAAGTGAAATTTCAGATGGGGCACGAACCATAAAGGATATTGGCTCACTTTGATCCAAATAGCCTGCCCAACCCATCTCTGTACGAAATCGAATGCGAACTGGTACGCCTTAACAATATCAGCATCGGATAAATCTTTGCCTCCTTTTGTGGTAGCGAAGGACTGCCAGCTTTCCAAAAAAACTGTGTCGGAGGCCGCAGTGCTGACATTTTTAATATGCTGGAATACGGCGGCTGCTTCTTCCAAGAAGGTTGTCATATCGGCTCGCGCTGTATGCCTGTCTTCTGCCCACTCCTGTCGAACACGCTTAGATTCTCTCGGCGCGAACTCCGAGGAGAGCTTTCGCTTGCTAGACGGCCTGACGAATTGTTCTCCCGATAGAGCGAGGGTTTCGCCGCCAACATGGTCCATTTTCAACAACTAAATGCCTATGTCTATTAGTGATAATGCGTATGCTGATGTGGCGTATATTGACCTTGAGCACGTGCAATTCCAACGGCCTTCCAAATGAGAGAGGTAAGGCGTTACGAGAACACAGCCGATTGACTCCAACGTCCAGCCCAGAAAGCTTCACGAATGGCTCCAAATCGCCGTCGGACAGCATGGCGAGACGAGCGTTTCCTAGTGCCTGGGTCGGTCTTGGTCTGGCAGGTAAGGGTAGACCGACACTATACCTTCAATGGAACATGGTGAGTTCTGGAGTGTCTCGACGAGGTCTTCCGCCTCAATGTACTCAGATAGTCCTTTGACGAAACATCGGAGATAGAGTGTGCTCTGCATTGTCGGAATATCAGGCTCTCGATGATCTATAATCCTGATATCGACCGCCTGTAGTAATGCGCATTGAGAGACATCCTTAAATGACATGGTGAGCACAGAATTCTCCGCACCTGCCGTATTTCATGTGCGGGAGCGAGGGATCGCTGGCCACTCTCGGCACCGAATTCATTAGTGATATTTGAATGGAGTTTCAGCTGATCTGAGGCATGGCATCAAGTGACTTCAGCGACTCTTGAGTTCGGTATGTATTGATTCTCACCTTCTGCATGGCGAATGGAAGAGCGGTCTGTACTCCATAATCCATCATGGGAATGCCAGTTCTGAGGCGCGTATGCAACACTATTAGTCATTGCTGGCTCAGTGTCTCTGAAATGCGCTTGTTGCGCGTCTTCGAAGCCTCCTGAGGGGTCTGTTAGCTCGCGAGGAGTTTCAATCTGCCAATCACAAACCTTGATTAGTCCACGGAACGTCATTGATAGGCTCTACCTCTCTGTGAGCCTGAGGTTCACGAGGCAGGATATCAAGAACATTGTCACCTTTCGAAGAATCTGCTTGCATCAGAATGGGAATGGGATTCGAGAGTGGGTCATGATGTCTCGGAGCCTGCCTCTCCAGCCACTCACCCTGTTCAACCGGATGTGGACTACATCCGAAAGTCGTTTCTGGTGGTACGTATGACGCATTTGGTACGTCCTCCAATCCGTCGCTATCTTCGACATCACTTTCGTTTGAATCTTTGGGCAGGTTTTCACCACTCGCGCCAACAGTGGCGCTGCGATCTTGACCTTTCCGGAAGCCGTTAGCTAGATTGAGGATCACATTGATCATGACACGCTTCGTCGTATCTCGACGAGGCTTGTATTTCTTGTTTGCGGGCCATAAATGTATGTTGTTCTCGATGATGGCTTGTATCTCATCTTTCGACATGGAGAGCCTGTCGTCTCATTATTAACAAATTGCTTGAGTATTTCGTCAAACTCACAACTCCTGCTTTGTGTAAGGTTGCTCGCAAGTCATTCTGCGATATTCTTGCTGGATCAAAGGAGCAAACAGAGAAGAAGATGTCACAAGCATCGAGAGGCGTGATGACAGCCCATTAAATAGCGGTAGAAAGGACAAAGTGACAGAAAACGCCGCAGGCTAGCAGGCTAGAGAGATCAAAAGCGAATAGACTTTCGGCTAAACAACATATCTTGCGGTCTCCCCGTGCCAGCACTCAACGAGAATATTTGCCTCGGCTCATAGATATGGCTCATCAGTGAGGGGTTCTGACGGTCTGGTATGCCCAGATAATACGCGTACCTTCATGCAATCGATTGTATGGACATATCATGCAAGAGCAATCGCCGTGTAGTTTCTGTGGTTGAACTTTCCAGTACTCTTTTCATGGCGGGTGGTCTTTAGCTTTTTTGCAAAGAAACGTGTGCGCGGAGTATCGTTCCGAATAGAATCACTTCATTGTTGATCTTGTAGATCTACCATATTGTAAATACTCGGAGACACCTGTAGCATAGAAGAAATTAGGATGCGGTTTCCCTCAAAATTATCCGTTCTCGAGGATTGTCCTATTACACAAGCACGCGCAACTTGCGCCTCCTGTGTTCTGGATTCCGAATGACTGATTGCGACGATCGGCATCGATCAGTTATGGTAAAGTTTATACCCATCGGCGATCTCTCACGGCAGCAGCTATAGCAACGTACAATTTCATTTCCTCATATGCACGCGATTCGAATCCTGTCTGACATCGAGTCATCTGCTGATTCCCTGTAGTACCCTGCCATCTGATAAGTCTGAACCAATTTGTGCCTGGAGAGCCAAGTCGACCCTATGTACGGCGTGGATATCACGTTAGTCGCTAAGTTGAAGTGCGTGTTTAGAATTTGGCGATGCTTACGCATGGGAAGATTTTGGACAAGCGTAGATCTCAGGTTCTCTGAATAGCACACATTCTGTGTGTGAAAAGGTTAGGATATCTCTCAACTAGAATAGCTCTGAAGCGTCGGCTGTGAGTTGAAACGTTGCTGTCAGACGTCGTCACGTCACACGTCCCGTCTTGACTCTTGAGTCGATCGGAATCTTCATGCGCCAAGCGGAGCAACAACGGGTAGGGTTGAACATTGACGTTGAGCGCGGAGCGATGAAGCGATGTTGGTGACTGTTTCCATGAGATGGCAGCTGTTTCCATGAGACGGTGAGAGATTCCACGTGGCATCTGTAGCTTCGGAGCTGCCTTCAACGACGAGGTCAATGAATTGATTCTCGTTTCCATGTAGAGTTTACGACGGGAAGGGTGACGTCGCAACGTATGACACACTAGCAACGGATACTGCGGATCCAGAAGTAAAGTTGCGTGCGATCCAGAAAGGGTCGCACCGTGGCGCATGCTCAGTATCTCCCGAACCAGTCCCAACATGCAGTTGGCGCGCCACTGATCGATTCGTTTGCTTTTCTGCTGGTGAGCAAACAAACGGTCCGCCCACACATAGAAAGCTCAGCTAGTGCTGCAGAGGGGTTCCAGCTCACAACTCGCGCAAGGAAACGGATCAGTCACTGATTGTTGTGCATCATCACTGGTAACGTTTTATATTTTATCTCACAGACATCGTGGATGGTATATCCTGAGGAGCCGCGCAAAAAGGCAGATGATTTAGAAGTATACTTCATCCGGCCGCTCAGACCGCGGTCTGTTCTGACCTTCAATCTTGCCATCATCAACAGTGCGATCAAGGCTAAAGTGAGGGCCCGAATCGCGCATTCATTTATCCTGCATGCTCGCACAAAGACACTGTCGCTTCTAGGTTAGACAGCAATTGCCAAGACATTTTTGCGGCCATGACAAATCTGTCGGAATCAGTCACGGTATTTGCATCGTTCATGCCTCTTCTCCTGTCGCAGAATGTTCCGGGCCGAATGGGGGAGCTTATGCAGCTCGAGCTACAATGCACTCCCTGAGTCTCCCTCACACTGACATATTCACTACTGCACAATGCCGGCCTTTGCGTGTCCTGGACTCACTCTTGCGTTACAGGAGCATATCGACGCAATAGAGGTCGAAGACGAGATCGACGGAGAGAGGGATGCCAATGACGCTTGGGATCAGCTTCGCGTCGATGACATACTATCCGTCCAAGATCAGCTGGGTTCCGGGACACCTACTCTAGAGAAGGTCCTGGAGAAGGCTTCCAAGGTTGTCACCGATGCCACGGATCAGGACTACCGACGGTGAGCGGTATGATCACATAGCGATTGCAGTGTCTAAGGTCTCACCGAACATTTTAGCTTGATGAATGCTTTCGAGATTTGGCTGAAAGTGCAGGGTTATGTCGCGCCCGACCATGACGTTTTCGGTGCAGTGGTAGCGGATAATATGCCAGAGTACATATCTGCTTGGATCATGAGCGAGTGAGAGCACTTTTCATCACTTTCGATGGACAATCTCGAACTGCTTCGGTAGATGCGACGAGCTCCGCCTAGATGGGACAACGAATCCTCCTCGAGAATATAGGGCATCCTATAGCCAGGCAATGAAGATGAGGGCGGCAATAACCTATGGGTTTGGTAGATCCAAAAGCTGAGGCATACATGCTTGGACCCAGAGCGAAAGTTGGGCTGGTTGGCGAGGGAACCCCTCGGTGTCGACACAAGTCTCCCGCTACATGGTGTCATTAAAGCGACGAAAGGTGCAGCTAGAGTTTTTCTACGTGTCAGAGCTAACGAATGGTATAGGTGCGAAATGGAGAAACCGCAATGAGCTCGCGAGCAATTACCGCTGATCTACTCAAAGCAATGTGGATTTACAACCATCGACCGGACAATTGGGATATCAAGCTATATGAACCTGGAAGCCGTGACAATCAGAACATACACCATTGGGGAGGTGGACGTGCTCGACGCCTCTTGCATTGTGCTTATACAATTGCATTCTGGTGTCTACTCCGCTTTGACGAGGTTCTTCAGATACAAATTCACGAGTTTGAGCTTGTGTCACCTACGTGTCTGAAAATTACCTTGCCTTTTCGCAAGACTCATCAGAATGGTTGTAAGTTGTAATTCGTCCGATCATTTGGGCAATCCTGAATGCTTCGACATAGGTATCAAGCCATTTTACCTACATCTCCTCCATCCTTCCGAAGCCCACCTGTGCCCAGTCCGAGCATTTGCGGAATGGTACTTCGTCAATGGTAGACGGCTGCAATATGGATACGTTTTCCGGTGAATAGCGTCAGGAGATCGCGTTAGTGATGAGAATGCCCCCTTGGTGAGCATATAAATTGTACACAGTGGGATGGTAGCATGAAAATGGAAGAATAGAGAGCGGAGGACTTCCTGGAGATGTTCCGAAACAACCTGCTGGATATCGGAATTGACCCCAACCCATATGGAACTCATTCCTTCCGATGAGGCGGATGTCAATACCTTGCAAGCGAGCGACGATGGAGTCTGCGCAAGCTATGTGATTGGGGCGGTTGGAGCACAAATTTTACAAGTCTGACCATCATCAAATATCTCATTTCTTGGAACGACGATCCATTGGAACCGAGAGAGGACTTCCTGAATCCAAACCGTGCACCTGCCGTACGTTGTCCTCAATGCGGGCGCTCTTGTCATTGCGCTTGAAAAGGGTCCCGAGACGTGGTAAGCAGGCCATTACAGCCAATGATCAAGCCGGGCAAGCTGATGCAGACAATAACTATCAGGGATCTCCGAATGTATGGAGAGTCAGGCTCAGGGCTGTGCCGTCAAGCCTGGTTGCCTGGAGAGTGCTTCGCGCTTCACCTTACGGCCTTAGTAATTTACTACTCACTTCCAGAACTTCGCACTTCAGCGCGGCGGTTGATGTATAGTACTGACTTCATCGCTCAGTGCCATTAATGCGTAGCATTATTACGTACTATCTATCATAGGGCTCCGCCCTCGCAGACAATGAACATGGAGATAAAAAAGAAGTCGGGTCCTTCAGGGATGATCGATGATCCTTCGACCGCTACCATGGTGCTTGTATCGAACGTCACCAGACAGGTAGATATCAAGCCGACGTGGAACAACATCGCTTTTCTATTGACGACGAAGGTGAGAGGGTCGCAAACAAGAAATGTCAAGACAAGCAATTAAAATGTTTTTTAAAAAAGGCTTTCGAGCTCTGAAGGTGGCGTCGTCTCGAACCTGTCCCTAGCGACTCGGCGCTCTGTTGGAGATGCCAATCGGCCGGGTATCAAAAGCTCATATTGTGTGGCACGGCGAATGGAGGCGGCGGGTGAGTATAGTTTACAGTAGTGAGAGACAAAAGACTGACCGGATGAACAATGATGCGCGGCAAGGACGTCGACATAGGACAACCGCCAAGCACAAGGATATGTTATTTTAGGGAATCTAATCCCAACATCTGCGCACAATCAGCCGGAAAAGGTTACGATGTATTGGTATTGTACATGGTCACGCAGATTCGAGACGAAATGACTTTGGGATAGTATGCTACCAGGTCCTACCTATGATGATTATAATACAATATGTACGTGATTTCGCAATCCAAAAAAAACTCCGGATAGTATCAGAGACAGGACAAGAGAAAGAAGGCAGAGAGGTATACGATAAGAGGCCTGAGAGCATAAAAAACATACAGTGAAATAATAGCTCCACAAATTCGATGATGAGCTTGGTGTTGTTTGAATCCATGATGAGGCACCCAACGGGATAGAGGTCTTGTTGGACCAGGGCCGTAGTATTGTCGACAAAACGTTGAAGCCAGCTTCAGTGTCAAGGCATGCACACATGGCGAGACGGACGCAACACAAGTAGAAGACGAGCAGCTGTTTTTCGTCAACGCCGATGACTGTTTCGGTAAATTATTTGATGAAGGAAAGATGATGCTCCAATGTCTGTCAGATCAAGCCAATGATCAGCGCTATGTTCTCAATAGCTTGTCAAGTCCGGAAATCACGAAACTCACCAACCTCCAGCAACTACCATCAGCAAGAGCCATCTCAGCAGTCTGGCCAGCGAGCCAACCATCACGCGCATAGGTCAGACAGGGCCTTCGCTCCCCTACTCACCACATCGATCACCACACCAAGCACATACCCCAAGTAGCCCAAGCCCACAACCGCCGAACGGAATGTCACGTCCACCACATATCCCGCGCCCACCATCCCCAGACTCGCCGCCCGCACCGCCAGCCCGGGGACGTGGCCTGCTCCAGCGAACGCCGCGTCCAGCGCGATCGTAGCCGCCTCTCTGGCGGTCTCGCTCGCCACCTCGGCGAGCCCACACGTCAGGCTCTCGCGCCACTTGCGCCTGCGCACCGCAGCCTTCTGGCGCTCGCACTGTGCGCGACGGCGCTGACGCTGGCGTTCTCGCTCCTGTGCACGCCAAGGCTTTTCTTCTTCCCCCTCATCCTCGTCCTCATCATCGTAGCCGGATGGCTTCTCCTCGGCGAAGCCCGTACTCTCCGGTGTCATCTCGGCTAGTATTCTCATCAGCTCGGGCGATGACGCCAACGCTGTGGTTCTCTCGTCCATCTCGAGCGAGTTGCTGCGAGAGCGGCTGATACGGGGCTTGGGGGGAGGGGAGGGTTCGGCCTCTAAACGCGCTTCTTGGCCGTATTCGTCATCTACCTTTGTGGGTGCAGGTTGTTGTGATTGATCAACAGAGCGGGCAGGAGGAGGCTGGTCGTCTATAGACGAGCTCAAAGGTATTGAGGGTTCGACCCAATCACGACCAGTGGAGAATGATCTAGAATAGCTTGTACTCGATGCATACCCGTATGATCCGCTCCACATTAGTTCATGCTGCAATCGCAGAAGTTCATCACTAACATCAGGGTAAGAGGTGCACAACGTGTGCCGCTCTCATGGCGGGTTGAACACAGGCATAGGCGTTGGCATAGGCAATGGCGGGAGCCCGCCGGGGCCCAAGATCTTGCGCTCCATCTCTCCAGGTTCATGCCAACGACCGGTACATTTCAATCTGTATGGTGGGACACTTCTCCTCGCTGGCATAACGCGGCGCTGAGGAGGAGAAGATCCGAAGCAGAAAGGCTCGTTCCGTATGCTGCGCGCATATTCCGCGAGGTGGATGTGGAAGTCGTCCAGAGTGGGCTTGAGGCGCGGAGGCTCGGAGGTGTTCATGACCAGTGGCGTATCAGTCTGCTTGGGCTGCGCCAACTTGGACAAAGAGCTGGTCGGCTGTTGTGCGGACTGTGGTTTCGCTAGGTCGCTGAGACAAAGCATGTCCTGCGCGAGAAATGGGTCACATGACCGCGACCTGGATGCATCCACGAATTTGGTCATTTCACCGCAGACATTGGAACGATCTCTACGCATGGCCTGAGATAGTGAGGTAATTTAATCCTAAATGATGCCCTCTATTGAAACAGCATTTTGCTGACCACATTTGAAAGATTGAAGGTTAAATACTCACCTTGGAACACCGTAAGCCATGTTTATTGAATATGTTGTACAACTTTTTCGAGGTACAAGAGGTCACCGTCTAGGTTCAATTAATTTGCAAATCATCTGCTACGGGATGGGAAGGGTTCATGTCGTGAAAGTTGATCCTCTCAGACTCTGCGTGATGATCTGATACTACCTTCTTTCGGGAAGAAGCTGCGGCATAGACCACAATGCACACTATTCCGAGTCAACAGCCCGGTAGCCTCGTACGGAGACGCGGATTCGACAATGATTCTGATGGCTTTTCACGGCTGAATGCGACCTCTGCCGCCATCTGATGAGGTGCTAGACAAGCATCGAGACGACCAGATGCGATCAACAAGTGATCTCAAGATCAAGTACGCGTCATAACTGAAGGTTAAAAATCAGGTGGACTCACCGGTCGTCACCGTACTTTTCACGTCTATGAGAACAATGAACGTAATGAGGAAGGGTCGAACTTCGCGAGCATGAGTGCCCATCTTCTCGTTCCGAGTACCCATGAAAAAGAAGCTCGCGGATGTGGCATAGGGAATGCTCCCAATCAGATCGTAATCGGTACTGCAGCTTGAGTCTTGACTAGCCGTTTTCGCTGGTGGACAACCCAAGAGCGACGAATCTATCATGTTATAATGCACAAAATACGTCAAAGTATCCGCCCCCGCATAGAAAAAATCCAGCTAGCTTCTACATATTAGAGCAGCATCTAGGAGCATGCTGCACAGGTCCAGACACTGCGGCAGAGTGAGGTTGAAATCTGTTCCCGATGGCACCGTCAGGCCCTGTACAGAGCGAAGGCGAGAACGTTACGATACATATTAATTGCAAGGTCGATCGTCCCGACGACAAACAGAGTAATCACGACGTTGAATATCATGACGGGATTGATCAGCAAGTTCCCGAATATGCACCGGTGCTCCGGCACGTTCCAAATGCGTATGGCAAAAGCCACCGCATGCACGCCGTAAGAGACTTCTGCACACAGAACGAGATAATGTGCGACTCTGAGAGGTTGAGGTGTCCATGACTACGTGAGCTGTGCCTGGGGCCGAGATCTCTCGCAGTTATACAAGAAGTATTGCGCCGAGAACGCTTCTGTCCGTCGAGATGCTATTGTCGCGTTTTACAATCCAACGACACCCAATTCTTGCCTAATGGCATGCACCGCCTTCACTCCACAATTTCCATTAGTTGCCTCGCATGTGCCTTGATTCTTGGGGTCTGAAAATACAGCGAACTCTCGCTATGCTTGAATTGGACGGGCACACACCTATACCAGCCCTCAGAGGCTTTGCAGGATTCAACAGATCTCGTTATTCAATGGACAGAAGGAGAAATGCGCTCGAAGATTTGCTCAGATGATGTTATAATCACACCTGACCCAATTTCGATGTGGAACGTTTTATGAAAATTCTGCAGAATTTGTAACACTCGTACCTGGTTCAACTTGCGCAGTAACACGGCCGTTCTGCCTAATGTAAGTGCGCGGGACCGTTCATCATGGAAAATGAAACGGACCGCTCGCGGGGCTCTTAACTTCACAGTGCAGTATGCAGAGCTCCCATTCAGTGTATCCATAGGTCCAAGAAGGTTCCGTAGGGAGAAGGTGTACCATACTTGAGGCTTACTTTCTAGCGAGACAGCAGACACATCCTGAAATAGTCGTCAATAGAATGTAACAATTCGTGATAAGCACGACGCCCTGCGTCTGTGTTCTGTAAGGACATCGCATGAGAAAGGAAGGCACCGTTCAAAGGTGACGCACCGCTGTCCATATCACGACTCATTTCATGCAAAATTAGTATGAATCACGATAGGACGGCTCGGACGACTGAAATCTGGGAAAGGCGCACCATAAAAGACTTGTACACCATGGAAACTCATATCCGCTTGCATAGGCTTGTTTCCGCTTGTTTCCGCTTGTTGGGATCAAACAAGGATATAAGTGGGAGAAAGGCCCAGGACCTCCTCATTTTAGATTTGTCCCCGACTTCATGGCTTTTTTCGTTCGCCTTTCTGCTTGCACAAGCCAATACAAATGGGATTTAACATAAAAGGAGGTTTTGTGTCTAAGCCGATTTGAGAGAAAACCTTGCATTCAGATGTCGGCGCGCAGAAAGCATGGTATGATCAGCGTCGCGCCGTTGCAGTTGCCGATCTTGACGCTGCTGCCGATGAAACTGTGATTCACTCGGCAATCGAAGCAGGAAGAACGACAGACGAAGAGACCATTCAGACTAAACCTAGTTTCAAATATGAGCAGACTCACACCATATACATACACATTAAACGACACAGCGACAGGTGATCATTATCTAGATGAACACCTGGAGTGGATGACAGTCACACACGTTCTGTCCTTCACTCAGCTCTCCGAGGCAAGTCTGGATAGAATGGTACCAAAGCATCAGCAGCGTCCAGGTATAGCGAATTGTAAATATGCCAGTACACCTGTTTAGCATCTTGATTAGTGGCTAAGCTCTACAATAGACAGCAGGTGACGTACCTCGCGAACGTTCCTCGCTGGATGGAACAAGCCTTGCAAGACATAGCTCAACAGGATACCTGGGCCGAGAGTCACCCGCATGGCTTCCATCACAGCATCACGTCTAGTGACGTCTCGAAGCAATCAGGCCACACGAGGTTCATCAAGTGCAGCATGGAATCCTCGCAGCCGAGGCCGGCCACGCCAATGGCCAGATGCTTGTCAATCGTGCTTGCGGTCTGTCGGTGTACAAGGTCGTAGTCCGTGAGAGCATCCTCGAACATCGTGACGACAGAGTTAGTACGCCGACTGTGGACTGACGCATTAGAATGCGAATGAGAGCGCCTTCAGATATCCAATCCGGACATTCAGTTCGGCAGTGCAATACTTGTTGAGGATAGGAGGACACATGTGAAAGCTGGGAAGTTTCTGTTTAGTGAACAAATGCATGTGAGAAGCATGTGAATTTAAGACCGCAGGTCTCTGCTATAATAGCGATTGCAATCGTACTGCAGACAGGACTCTGTCGCTCCTGGACACATAGGTTTGTAGGCAATACTTGTAATACGTCTTGAGGACCAAAACTCTTGGCAATGTAACCAAAAGAATCGACTGCCGCACGACGAATGCCCTTCTTGTGCGCCTTCAGTAGATCCAGAAACTCGAAGCAGATACGCATCAATGCTCACGCTGGCGCGAACTCGGCGCCGTGGCTGGCTGGATTGAGTGATATTTGCATATTATCGGTGAATGGTGGGAGACGGGCATACCAATGCGAACGATGAGGTTGATCGTGGCCTCCTGCACTTCTCGTGTCTATTACGGAGAATCGGCGTCATACGGGTACTACGCACAATGATATTAGCACTAAGCACTTGCATAGACAGAAGTGGGCGCCCACGGAGATCCTTCACAGGTGGATTCATTACGTCATACCGACAACGTTGGCGAAAGCATCCTCGGTGGCAATGATACTACCCAAGGTATCGGGATATTCACCAAAATCCTCGAAAAGAACGAGACCGGGTTTGCTCAGAAGCTGATCTTCGCCGCATTGCTTGATGACAGCAGCCAGACGTGTGGTGAAGTCCGCTACTTGCTGACGCACCTTGACGATCTTCTTGTTGAGACGCCAGAGGATGGTAGACACGATCTGTGTCAAATCTGGCTTCACACGAATACCTGAGAAGTACAAAGTCAGCACCAATTTTGCATGAAACGTTGCGATATGGAGCTTACCCAGTGCGTTGATGACCGTACCAAACCCATCCAGCATGACTTGATCCTCCGTCGTCTGCTCTTCGAAGGCATTGATGGTGCCATCGACGAGCCGAACCTCCAGTCGTTCATTAATGTTGGATGCACCGAGACCTTCGCAATTGTCTCCATGACCATCTTGCGATACGGCTCGGCCTCGTCCATGAGGTCATTGACAATCCTACCAAAATCCCCGCAATACCAGCATTCTCAGCCAACTCGACAGTCGTCTCTACGACCCGTCTGTAATTCCTGAGGTCGAGAGCCATGCGATGGACCCAGAATACCTTGAAGAATTCGTGCAGAACGTCCTGCTTGATGTACTATGCACCTTCGGTGGCAACGCATTGCTGGAAAACCTTCAAGACGATCTTCTTCGTCTCCTCGCCTGACGTTTGGAACTCACGGATGAGGATGATGATCACCTCCTTGACGTAGTAAGCAAAATGTTCATAGTCCATCAGGAGCAAGATAAAACTGATGGCTTTCAGGAATACAGCCATACTCTTGCCACAATGCAGGCTGATACTGACCCACAGTGGCTTAAGGACATTGTCAAACGATTCTATAAAATATAAAGCGCAGCTGCCTCAGCCAACGCTGCAAGACCCAAGGCGTTCATTGTTCTGACCTTCTGTTGCTCGTCCTGGAGCCCATGTGCGACGCAATCGATGAAATTGCGAGGATGCGACAGCACAGGGCCTCCCATCATGATAGCAATCTATTGCACGATACGCATACCAGTGTGCCGCACCTGCCATGAGTTCTTGCTCCGGCGCACAGGTTTCAAGAAAGGCAATAGAGACAAAATACCGAGTGCCGAAGCCACGACTGAGAATGCACAAGCAGTCGTGTTACGCACGTACTCGTCCACATGGTCGGTATCCGAACGCATGGTGGAGGTCATGTGCGCGGAACCAGCTGCTTTGGACAAATTGGAGATGATCCCGCGTCCCTCAACACGGCATAGTGATCCTCATCGATGAGGAGAGGCTCGATGTCGACGAGAATCTTATGGACGTATGGCCGCAACATCGTCGAGCTTGTAGAGTACGCGGTCGATAACCTTGACAAGTAGGTGACGTTCTTGGTCCTCCAACGTTCGCTCCATCAGCAAAGGCAGGATCTTGTCAAAGAGAGGACCAGCCCCGAATTCACGAGCTTTGTCCGTGATCTGTCGGAGGGCGGTCTTGCCGATGGGCGGCGCGCCGTTCTGGATTTTGAGCAGGAGACGCATGATCTTGCGCGCCTTCATCTCGTCCACCGACAACTCCGTCTCGTCCTCCTTCAAAATCTTGTCGAAGTACTGCGCGTCCTCCACCTTAAAGAAAGCGAGACTGCCAACGCCCGGTATCTCATTGGGCAAATCGGAGGCAAGACCGGCCGCTGCTGCGAGGGTAGCAGCGTCGGAGCTCTCCTGTATCTGAAAACCACCAACTTCAGTGACGGAAGCGGCGAACTTCGAAGGACGAACCAGAGGGACATAACCCGGGGGCAGAGTGACGATGGCATAACCGGTGGCAGGGAGAACGGGTCCAGCTGTTCATCAGTCAGATAACGGTTGCGTTTGTCTTCATGCATGAAGCCAGGCGCGTTCATAATGATGGGCTGCATGGGAATGTCTTGGACAGCGGGTGTCTGATCCCAGCGTGACCTTTTGGGAGTCTCAATGAGCGCACTGATGTCGGCAGGCATCGCGTCCCAGCGAGAACGACGCTTCTTAGGTGCAGTCTCCTCGAGAGCTTCCTTAGACCACTCACCACCTTTATCCTCCTTATCCTCTGGCTCAGCAACGCCCCATCGGCGTTTGCGCCTTGCTCCTGCGAGCTCCTTCGCCGCTGCTTCTATCCCCTCCCCAGCGGTGTGTTTTGTCGAGTTCCATCTTTGCCTTACCCTCCTAGGCCTCCCTCGTCTGCTTCTCTATTGCTCGTCTGACTTGCTGTTCCTCCTGCTCAAGCCTCTGCAATCTCATGACATCCTTATACTCACTCTCAACATCCTTGCCCTCCTCTACTGCTTTGAACGCATCCTCACTCTTGTGCGCTTGGCGATTGAATAGGTGATGATGGTGGTCGGACTACCGCGATGCAATCTGGCGCTTTGAAGCGGTTTCGGCGAAGAGGTTCTCCTCAGCGAGTTCAGCGAACTTGCCGTGAAAGAGTCAGCTAATCTGGGGGATCGTGGGAAGGGCATGGTGGAAGCAAATAAAAGGTTGGAGGAAGGGAAGCCCCGGATGCGGGTAGCATCAGCGCGTGAATCGCCATGATGCACCTGGCTGCTGCCTGATCGGCTGCTGCTTGATGCTGCTTGATGCTGCCTGATCGTAAGTGTATGATGTCAGATATTGAAGCACGTTTCGAGCTGATCCGCCTGCCAGGTAACACCTGCAACCTGCCATAGTGCTCAGAGGTACCTAGCGACCTCTGGGAACAATTAGCGTGATACAAGGCATACATCAGCCGTATCAGAGACAATTACTGTCTGCGCTCAACCGAGTCGTTAAAGATTGCACAAGGTCAATTGCGTACGTGGAAGATATTGGGTATAAACCAACGAGCGTATGGTGGATAAATATCTATTCAGGGGCTTGAAACACGAGGGCCTCGCGACCCGGATGTACTAGTAACTACTACTACTAGTCATAAAACCTACGGACTGGATCGAAAGAGATTGCTGATAGAAAGGGAGCTAAGGCATGACACGAAGCCGAGAGGGAAGTAATACCACAGGGAAGACGGACACGAGTATGGCTATAGCAGTGTGTTGCAGAACAAACGGAACTGAACGGAAGAGAGAAGCTTGAGACAATAATGGCAGACATATACAGGGAAGGCGAAGAGCGAATGGCAGACGCGATGACGCAGGACCTCTGATGATGCCCAGACCGGACAATGAAGCAGACAAGCTAATCATCTACATGGGGAACTGTCAGAGAACGCAATAGGCTGGAGACCACCACGGAGACGAGGAACCGACCGATTATGTGCGCACCGACTAGTGTTCCCACGAGAGAAACAAGCTCACAGACGACGACGATGAAGCACAACATCCGTGAGCACATAGGAGCGGGACCACAACGGCATAACTTCATCCGTACGTGATCATAGGTGCGTCGTAATAGTCGGTCTTCCACTCGCTGCTCTTCCACTCGTTTAGAAGCATTAGCGGGTGAAGCTGCAGGCCCTTCATTGATGGCGAGTCGTCTGGCAGCAGCCTCGGCGGATGCAGGTAGGCCGCGAACAGGTTGTCTGCGTCATCATGCTGGAGGCTCTGGCCGTGAAGGAACATGTTCGGAAAGTTGTCCGAGGGCAGCGTCAGCGGGTGAAGGTAAGATGGAGAGTTCGTGCTGTTGTTTGGGGGCAGCATCGGCGGGTGCCACAGCGGACTGCTGTTGTCACCATGCAGCATGTTGTATGGACTGTACGGGTTGTATGCGAAGTCGAGCGACGAGCCCCACGACTGCGAGCTCGATGATGTCGGCAACGTGTACGAGTCCGCGGACGAGCCGAAATATGTTGCGGAGGACGGGGGCTCCGATGCCGAGTCGCCGCTCATGCGGCGCCGTTTCGACATCCTCGTCTCAGTGACCGTGTTTTCCATGTCCGAGTAATCGCCGGAGACTGGGAATGCATCCGCTGTCGCACTGTATGTCTGTGCGAGATAATCCGAATGGTAAGGACCAGGGAAGGAGTATGGCGATCCAAAGAACGTGCTGCTGTATATGCTGTTCTGGCTAGGGGTGTTCCCAAGGGCATCCGTTAGCTCTGACTGCATCGAGGTGCGGTATTCGACTTCCTCGTGGCCGCTGAAAATCTGCGTTGTCGAGTGAGGTGCCACGGTGGGGGCAGCTTCCATAATTGGCGAAGCACAATGACTGGCGCTTGGACTTGTGAAAGGCGTCGCGGAAGGCGCCTCCGAAGGCCCAGTGCCTACCCTACGGGCATCAAGGCGGGTGCGCTTGCGAATCACATCGGACTTCATGGAGAGAGGCCGCACAGAACCGTGCAACTTGTAGCTGGTACATGGGAGTGGTCAATTGGGCATCTTTTGGAGGCCGAGGGGAAGTGTAACTTACTATAAGCCACAGCTAGGAGAAATAGAAGCAAAGAAGGGGACGGGTGTCAGCAGGTATGCAGGGTTGATGCAAGGCGAATCGGTACTCACGCGTTGCACACGATCTTGCCTTTGTTGTCCTTCCGCCAGAGCGGCGTGGAGGTTGTGTGACAGTTGTAGCATTGTTCTGGATTACACTAGTGAGATCACGTTAAGATGGCAGGAGCATATGATACTCACCAACTTCTTGAGCATCTTGACACGAAGCGTTCTTTCCACGACCCTCACCGTGGTTATTCCTCATGCCTTTGGGGCGAGGACACTTGTGCTGAAAGAATAAAGCCTTAAGAGCGATTCATGAACCCTGAACACAAGCATATACCATTTTATAGTACAATCCGCAAGCATTGCAGTTAAGCTCCTCGTTCAAACCGCGACGCCACAGAGGGGTACGAGTAGCGCCACAATTTGAGCACTCAGCCTTACCATTGCCCAGTGCTAAGTTGCTCTGTTGACCGGAGGCGCCCCCGTTGACAGGCGTGGTGCTCGGACCCGCGCTGCGAGACGAGGATTGAGTGTGCACGCTCAGCGATGGCCGCTTTCCCTTGCCGTTGGTGGCCGGCGTGCCATTGCTGTTTGGAGGGGCGAGCTGGGTTGGGGTGACGGTGCGTGGAATGACGTCCTCAACCGGGATGGATAGCGGCGGAACATTCCGGGGCGCGGCGGTGAACGTGAGGACCTCGTCGTCGTCGTTGCTGCTCGGGGTACGGCCCGAGCTGGTGGAGATTGGGTAGGACATTTCGCGCTCGACAGTGTCGAGTGCGAAATGTCCTACCGAGTCGACAGACCTCATCTCGACGTCATCCTGGACATCATGGTTCTCAATGCGGGCGTCAGTCATGCTGCCTGTGCTGATGAGATCGTCTAGTGGCAGTTCAATTGTCGGGCGGACAATGCTGAAGCCATCCGAATTCCTAGGGAAACTGGAGATGGCGCCTTCGCCGAAGGTCATGGGGTTCGTGACAGTAGGAGTAGGATATAGAAGGGCAGCTGGGCCAAAGTCATCAGAGAAGAAAGTTGGAAAGCTGAGAGACGCTGATTGAAATATGTCGTCCGAGTTCGCCGTCGCGCCAGAGTTCTTCCTCGCTGCAGCCGGCTTGCGCCTGCGCTGGGTGAGGTATTGGTCTTTATCGTTACGGTCGCTGTTTGTGTCATCGACTCTGGCAGCGGTGGAGCGTGTCGATGGGCGGCCGCGCTTAAGGGCATTGTCCCTGAACTCGGAAGAGGGCTTCAGGTCCGGCTTCTTGACCGACACAGTGGCAGCGGTGGGCGATGCAGGCCGGTCGACACTGAAGGTAAACTGCATACGGCGAATGGTCCCGGGCCTGCCCCTCTGATTCGCCTCACGTTCGCGCTCCTTATCAGCAGCGCGCCGCTGGATGAGATCGGTAGAATGGTTGCGCTTGAAGCCCGGCGCCTGGAGCTGCTCGATGTTCCTGAGGACGCTATCAGTAGCCGTAGCGCCGTTGGCAGTGAGTCACGTACCATCCTTTCTCCTTGTCGAGCTTGTCACCCATACACTTGGACAGTTTCCTGAAGTCGCGCTTGGACTTTGCATCGTCGGCATCGACCATGAGATTCTGTAGATGCCAGATTCTCCAACTCAAGTTCTCGAGGCGCTGGCCTTGTTTCAAAAAGCTAGCGACCTTGGTGCAGACCTAAAACGGTGTTAGGTGGTAAAGACGACACGATATAGTGACCATCATATGCTTACCTTCCAGGTCATCATCAACGAGTCAGCATCGCTAAGGTTACTGAATGGAACAAAGCTCTTGTTGCCCTAATTGTGACGGATGAGAGGTGAGTCCTGAATCCCCCGCCTGTGTGGACGAAAGAAACTGACTTTAAACTTCAGATTGAGAATGGAGGGCATTGACCAGAGCACGCAGGATTCGTCAGGGGGAAGAGCACAGAGGTCGGCAGGGCAGAGCACGAAGAGGGACGAGAACAGTTATACGGAAAATAGAGCCGATGGAGCCTGAGGACGTCAGAAGAGTCGGGCAAATATACGAAGCACAAACTACACAGCTGGCGTTATTTGCATATTAACGTATCGATGTGGGGCGTGTTCACAATTGGATCCCAGGTGCGTGCAGAACGCGAAGCATTGTCACATGCCCAAGCGATCACTGGTGCATGGTTGCAGAAGCTCCGAGCTGAGTTGTGCTCGGCACTTCGGCCCTGTAGAGGCACAGGCGACTCCAGCCAGAACATCAGCGCGCTCCTCGGCAGCTTGCATGCGCCGTTGAACAGAAGCGGGAAGGGATTCATTGAACGTGCGACCTGCGAACCGCACAAGGACAAGCGTAGGGATGTGATGCGTGCGCCGCCGTAATCGGGAGCGAAATGAAATACAGGCGGCGTTCATTGTATGGTCTTATCGCTTGAAGGGCCTAGCGATGATCACAGTGGCTGGTAACTCCCCCTCCCCGACGAAGCCGGGCCTCGATTTTACTGGCTTCTATGACACATCCACGACACATGCACCATGAGACTCACGAAGGCAGAGAATAGATACCAGTCCTGCGTTAATCAGGGTCGGACAAATGGCCGATGCATTCTGATTAGGGCGCGTACAATTGGCGTCCAAGTCATACCGGGGCCGATAACAGTGATAGCCCTGGGTCCTATAGGCATGATGCAGCTTGAGGTGAGATGACGTTGGTTGACATGACAGTCAAAGGGATGCGTCTGCATGTAGTACACAAGCTGAGCGCCGAGCGCTAGCGCTGATCGATGCGGGCAACTTGTTAGCAAAATGGACTGCTGATGGAAGTCCAAGTGACTCACTGGCATGCAGACGGGTGTGTCAGAGTAAGGTATGCCGCCACTAGTCCCGAGCGACCATGCATATGATGATGATCTGCAAGAGGACACCGCGTGAAGGATAGCTCCATTTACTGCTTTGGAATGCGACTCAGGCTCAGAAGAAGTCTTATTGCATATGAATGATACAGCACAGTGGTACATGGCGATTGAGCTATGTCAATGACTACTCATTGACACCGGCATTATCCATCAGGAGGTCGTCATTGATATACAAAGACATTTCGTCATCAATGCCGGCATATCCTTGGGATAGGTTCAGCGTGAAATCTCCGTGGCCTACGTCGAATCCTTCCCCAAGAGCATTTGCGATGCTCGACTCATGATGAGGGGCGGCGTCGCGTGCAGTCAATGAGTTGATCTTTTGCTGCTGAAATTTCAGGTATTGTGTCGCCATCATCTCTAAAAACTCCTGGGGGACTCGCGCTGCTGCAGACGTAGCAGCACTCACGTCGTGCATTTGTGGCACCGCTACCATCCTCCACGAACCAGAACCTTGCCGATCCATACCGGGAGGCATGCGATGGCTCTCGCTTGCACCGTGAACGGATTGTGCTGGTTCACCGCGAGCCGGTCCCGCGTCCCTGGTGGAGCCCGACGTGACAGGACTTGGAGTCATACGTCGGCTGCGAGCATCTTCCTGATGTGAGTGTACATCAGCCCTCGCTCCTTGCGACAGGCCCGATTCGTCCGCGAGCTCAATTCCTTGGACATTGATGCTTTCCTCAGACGGCTGTTGCGTCTTGAGAGATGGATACTGCTTAATGCCAGCTGAGGGCCTAATGAATGCGGGGCTCGACGATATGACCTGGATTTCTGTCCTTTGGCCATGCTTGGATAGGTTTGCTTCGGATTGCCTTGGCTTCGAGGAAACTAGAGAACCTCGCTCACCAAGAGACCACCCTGCCACTTCGATTGGAAATGACTTGTCAACACTGCACGGTGCGAGGAATGACGCGTTCCCTCACCTTCAATGTCATTAACTCCAAGAATTGAGTGATGCAGGGAACCAGCCTCAACGCTGAACATCTCAGCAGAACGGAGTCACTTCAATGGGCCGCCTTGCTCAACCTGCGCCTCCCGTTTCGGAGCGCGACGGGGAGGACACAAGGACTGGGGCTCATCTTTTGGAGGCTCGCTGCCCTTGTTGCTTGTGAAGGTAGGATCGTCATCGCCGTTCCTTGTCATGTAGAGTTTGAGACAGGAAGTATTCTCCTGCTTGGGTGTGACTCCTTGGAGTACAAGACGTCCATGAGGATTGACGTCGCGAGAGTCTGTGATGACTGGATGAACAGAGCCGTTGAAGGGGACGGTATGAATGGCCATACCTGGATAAGGATTCTTAGAGATGTATATGCGACAGTCAGTCGAGGCTTCTGTCAGAGCAGAGTATAACTGCTGCAACTGGACGACATCAAGTCCCCGAAGACCACCATTATGGCCGCAGAAAGTGTTCCACGGAACATTTTGAGGCCAGTTGAAACACGTCAACCCTGACTTGAACAAGGTATCCAAGAGACAGTTCATTCCTTCAAATCTTGGGGTGATGCCATTTGACCCTAAAACCAGGAAGTTCACGTAAGGAGGACAAAAGTGATAGCAGGAGCACTAACGGAAAAGCCGCGCAAATGCATCTTCTATATCCTTCGACATTACGAGCAACTTGTCAGTCGTACTTCCGTCTGATAACCGGACAGCGCCATCCGGATGGAACGACAAGGTCTGCGCTTCAGCTGACTGTGTTTCATCATGAATTGATGGCCTTTCATAATTGAGAGGAGGTGATTTGGCGATTTGCGCAGTAGAATGATTGTTCCTGGCACAATGTGAGATGACAGCGATATCATAACCTAAAAGCACGTACCACACGTGGGCTTTCAGATGTCCTATCACTTCATCTGTGGACGAACGCGTGAGCTTGCACAGGAACTAGATCACGCCCGTCATCAGCTCGTCATATAATGCGGATCAGTATGAAGACACGCACACCCTCACTCTCTGATGACTCGTACGCCATGCCAATTCCATCGTCCCTCACGATGTCATTTCCGCTGACAATGAGCACGGAATGGAAACCGTAGCTCTCAGCAAGCGCATCCAGCTGCATAACCGACATGTTAAATCCGTACAAAGATGATGGAGCTTCAGTAACCACATACCGTGGACCTCAGCTGTCTCATGAAGTATTCTAGTACTCGCCTCCGCTCTGAAGCCGCATCATTCGAAAGTCTTTCATCAGGAATGCGACTCTTAAACACGAGGATCGATGGCCACTGCGACGGGTTCGCATTCTTGAATGCTTGCCAGCACTTGTATACATGCTCGGCGTCGTGACTGATATCTGTATGCAGGCATTGGACAAGCAGTCAGTGAATAATGATCAAAAAAACGTCAAGGAAGAGGGCTCTCGCACCGCCATCGGTCGCTAGAGGAACTCGCTTCGATTCCTCCTCCGTGTGCATGTTGTAATATGCCTTGTACAATTGAAACGCATCATGCTCTGCGCGTTTGTCCAGTCTGAACACGTCAAATCGCGCAACAACTTCCTCGAAGGGGATTCCAAGGCGCCCTGCGATGCGTTCGAATATCAAACTGACCTGCCCAAAGTCTTGCTGAGCAGAAGCATCGTTTACGTGAGACGGTGCCGTGGCATAGCACTCTCTTTCCTCCGGTTCGTATACGACGTCTTCCGTATTCACTTCATTCGCTGCGTGAGCGACGCTCGACGATGGATGACCATGTATAGATGCAGGCATCGCATATAGTTCTTCACTGGGAATCTCCGCAATTGTCTCTTGCTGCTGTCCGTGCACGGGCTTCATGCTGGCAAGTGATCGAGCACAAGTTCGAGATGTAAGCGGCGGCGAGAGAGGTCAGCTAGCTACAAGGGAAAAAAACTCCTGGGGGGCGAGAGAGTCGAACGGTGATTCCGAGCTGCTACCGATACCTGTAGCCAAAAATCTTCCCACAACAAGAAGCAGCGTAAACCAATCCACCGTGGTCCATATCATCCGCGTGTTCCCTCCTTGCCCTGCCCTGCATAAGAAACATCCGCGGTTCTTCTCCGAGACGTTGATTAGCACCGAGAAGCCCAAGCAGTTCATGTGGCATACAGCTGCCACATGGAGACCAGGAAACAACTTTTGCCGAAACCTCTGCTGGATGGCATGGTGACGGTACGTCAGAAGCTTTGGCGAGCATTACCAATGAGCTTGAAGCTTGATGGGCTAGAGGCATGCGTGCAGCCGAAAGAAGCCCTCTCTGGCTTGGCGATCAGAACAGCCGATCGTAGGTCTCATCCGTCTGATCCAGAGGACGATGATGTATTTGTACGCTTCGCAAATTCGTTTCACACTGCAACACGTTGTCATGACGCTGATGGATCTGAGCTATCCCAAATTGAGAGCAATTCATCAACAACTCCGTGCGATTGTACCACAAACCTGCAAGGGACCCTTCCGACGAGCCCTCTTGCATACGTCTAAGCCAAGAGGCATGCCGAATACAGCAGGAACAACGGTCAAATTGTGACCGCGCTCATCAGATTTGACGTATGGTAACCCACAGCCGCTTTAGGAGGGCAGTCTATCAAGTCCACACTAGTAAGCGACTTGTTCTTAGCGTACCCTGCTTTTACTCAAATGAAAGCTAGCAAGTTTATGCATTCGGTCGCCTCACCTTCCTCTATATTGGAGACTGAGTCCAACATTACCGCTAGCCTGAGTCGGCACATATCCAACGCCGAAAGGCCAACTTTCAGGACAATTGAGTTGATTTGCGGGTAAAGAGTATCCATCACCAGGAGTAGGAATCTCAGTGACCATTTTGCCCGTGGTTTGTTGGACATCTGTTCCAGTTGATGATCCACGATAGACACGAAGCGGCGCGAGCAATACCTCAGCGTGAGTGTTGCTGCGCGTGGTTGCTTTAAAGATCATCAGAATATGTGATCGATGTAGAGAACCGTTGACGGCACCGTGAGTTGCAAACTTATCAACCCGAGCGCGGCCCATGAGCGTCATGTGCTAGCCGCAAAACCTTCAGAGACCTGCCTTCTTGACATATTTCTAATTTCGCGTCGTCGCCATCGCAATGCAGTCTGCGTAGACTCTCATAACAATCTGCCCACGTGTAGGGGCGAAAGAATAATGGGGCCTTTTGGCCGTTCATCAAAAATACACGAGCATAGTGTGACGGCCACGAAATTGTACGTGAACATCAAAACATCAGCAGTGTCTATCGCAAATCTCGTTTCATTGCAGTGGATAAATCCCTCGCTAACTTCGGTGTGCACGCCAGTCGGAATTCAAGCTCCAAATCCCAGGAGATATCTGCGACAGTCCTGAAGATCTCCTATAAGAGAGTGTGTGTTCGAGCATTGAGGCCGTTGGCCTTGATGCACGCCTCACTGGCCGGCCCGAACGCCTTGATCATACCCGCCACGGTAGGGATCTCGGTCTGAGTGGGGGTAACGAGGGGCGACCATTCGTTGTCAGCATGGAATGGATACGTTGAGAGGGGCTCCCTGCTGGACGAAGAATTGGGCACGAGAGGGATCTGGATCCGCTTGGACGGTATAGCGAGTGTAGGAGAATCGGTAGTCTTGCGGGACAATGTTCTTGAACCATGTTTATAACCCGATGTGAAATTGGAGATAGGAAGATTTCTGTCCTGAATGGAAGGAATGGCAAGCGATGGAGACTCAGTGGTCGGGGAAGACGCCCTAGAAAGATGGGCAGCCACAGGGGAATCAGACTGTATCGATGGCATGACAAGCTCTGGAACGTGAATTGTCCCATAAGACGACTCCTCTGTTCGACCACTGTTCAGCACGGGAGTCGTCATGGGGCTGGGTGCTTGCGATACCACAGGAGTGAGACAATCAGTTAAGGGCAACGATGACATTGAAGAGATAGACGAGATTGGAGATAGAACAGGCGAGCTCAGGGAGCCAGTCGTGACTCGTGATGATAGTTGTTCTACGTTTTAAGTCAGCATTGGATCAGAGCGACGGCTGCTCGGGACCTGAGAAAGTCTAAACGTACCGTCAGGAAGTCCATGATCAATGGTTTGCGGCGTAACGTCAGCGAACCCAACAGAGCCACCATGGACCGAGGGCGACACATGAGCTGTGAACCTCAGAAATGAGAAATGAGCCAGATAAGTCAGCATAGACAACATACCCCCAGCCCCTCCAGTGCCCGCGACCATGTCCTTGTACAACCTACCGATCTCTTGTTCCCTTGCGCGTATCTCATTCTTGAGGCGCTCTACCTCGTTCCGTAACTGTCGCAAACGTTCCGATGGAGTGCTCTGCTGGATAGCGTGTTCATTCATGCCAACACAGCCCGGAGCACAGCTATCAACCTCCACAGGCTCCCAGTATAATTCTTCTTCGCCTTCGCGCTCCCCTCTGATGCTCAACACCACGTGCGAGGAGGAACTGAGGATTCGTGTATCGGTGGGGGCCGTGTGATGAGCGCTGGCACAGCAATGATCAGCAGTCGGGTGGATATGCAATGGTAGAACATGATCCGTCAAAGCAATCCATGCACGTTCCCAACGGGAGATGGTCGGTCTTGCCATGCCAATGACGAATTCTCAGACAATGCGCTCAACCGACGCCCTGAACGTCGGGACTGCATCACAAAGGGCAGGGGAGAAGTATACATGAGGCGATATGATATCAGAGTCATTGTCGAGGTTGTCGGGTTGTCCGGCAATATGAGCCATGACAGTTGTACCTCCTGTGAAGCGGTCCAAAGCAGTCAACTGCACATGTCCGTGAGATAAGCACCACTCAAAATGCAATGGTACGAACCATATCCAGCACCAAGGACAGAAACGCGTTGTAAAACCTGCACCACTCGCGTAGACCCGACTCTCCCGATAGGTTTTCACGACTAACATGCCACAGCGTATGGAATCCGTCGTGCTCAACGGCGTGCTTGTTGTCCTTATGCATGCCGGCGACGAGAAACGCCATCTTCGCGGCTTCAAGCTGTGGCTGGTAACGGGCCTCTTCAGCCTTCTTGCCGGTAGGTAGTTTTAATGACTTCAGCCCTATAGGACTAAGCTTGCAGTCGTTGGCTGTCGGAGCCATCAATGACGTGCAGTATACGGAGTAAATTGAGCAAGGCAGGAAATGGGTGAGGAGACGCAGCGTTAGACAATGAACCAATGGAGCAGTTACGATGCTAAGCACGGCGCTAATTGAGCGGAGCGACCTTTAATCGTCAAGTTCCGCATCCCTCGGAAGTATTTAGAGGGATTATAATCATTTTGATGATCGAACTGAGAATGCGGAACAGAAAGGCATTTAATGATCCGAAGCTCGCCTCAGAGTTTGATACGTCATCGTATGATCGTGAACCTTCAGGATGTCGCCTCTTCTCAGAAGTCCGAGGATTCGAGCGATGTTCGAGCTATTTCACATTCATATCATGGAATGTAAATGTTGGCGAATTTGCAGTAGGTTCTACCGCCACGGATATATCATACGATCTGAAGCTTTCCCCGTCCGGTAGCGTCAAGGCCTGGTTACTATGACTATCAGCATTGCAAAGTGAGAAAGAACCGAAACGAAGAAATCCGGCTCGCACAATATCTTGTCTTCCATAAAACAGACTGCAAGATACCTCCGCGTTACATTTGGGGTCGACGAAGAAGTATGTTATGGGATGCCGAGAGATGCCGCGGTGCCGAGTCAGTACCATAGTCACGATCATGACGCACCGGATCAAATCGCAAGTCGGTCGCCGTGGGTGAGTCGTTCTCCATTTTTCAACTCCTCACAGAAAAGCAACAGCCGGCCTGCTGACGGCGAATAGAAGATCGAGAACGGCTGGAGGTGAGCCTGGAGTGTCCCGGTCTGTGTCGGGAGCTCGGAGTCGGTATATCCACATCCACAGAACACAAAGCGATTGTGGATGCCGATTATGGTCTTCCAGGCTCTGGGTAGGCACGAGTACCAAGTGCTATTTTCTCGGTTGGCTGGTATGAATCTATGGTGATTGAAATCTATTAGTAAAGGCCTTGGGAACATTCAATGCAGAAGAATATGAGGCATGTTTGCACGAGTTGCTTCTGACCACCAAGGCCAGCGCGGGCAATTGATGTGACGCGTGACGTGGCATGAAGAGCCGAACGATGCGTTAGAGGTGAAGTGATAACCTGTGTAAGTTGGCGACGAGTGCCGATTCCAAATAACAGAACAGGAAAAGTCAGCCTTTCTGGCCGTTCGTGAAGGCAGAGCTTGTGTGAACAGGCCCGGCCATAATCACCAGTGAAATATCATGGTTGAAAAATGAAAGTCTTGAAAATTACCAAATCAAGTTAAGGGTGAGATGATGACCTAATTTGGCAATGCCCAACTTAAACTTTTTACGATCACAGCATTTCCCCTGGAAATCACCCTCTGATGATGTAGGCTGTGTCTTGGCACTCGGTAGGGCAGAGCGTCACGGTTCCGGGCGGAAACGAATTCGTCCTTCGCAGCGAAGGTGTGTGGCTGCATGACGACCGGTTTAACTTCAAGCGTAGCTTCTAGAAGGTCATCACTAGGATGTGACTGTTCGACAAACAACTGCTCTTCCTGTCATTCCTACGTGCACAATCAAAAGTCTGAAAACACTCGTCGAGTGCAATTCACGATACCGAAGGTGTCGTAAAGAAGTTATTTTGATCTCGAAAGGCCGTGTCCAGAGCAGTGCTTAATTGATTAAGCATAATGTTTTGTATGTCATTTCTAACGCCACGCGTGCCAGTCGTAATATCCTCGTATCGGCGAGGTTTCCAAGGAAACAACTTTTGTAGCACACACGAAGTCAAAGGCTGTCGGGTTTCATACGAACTTCCCCCGAGGCTCTGTTCCGCCATTCCACCTCAGCTAGCCGCTTCTCAAGGTAAAACACGCGAGCAGACTTTCTGATGCGGTTCTGGCCTGATAGCTGTATTTTACAGAGCAAAGCACTCGGTAAATGTTGTTCATCCGACATCAGTGATCCGTACAACGCGACACGACCCAGAATCGGGATACAGCGAGGGCTCAGGGCATCAATCTCTGGTATCATGGCGCCTCCTCAATGACAACCACTATCGTAGGCTATCATCTTGGCACCTCTCGGCATGCATGCTCCGATGTCGTGAGTACAGCTCAGCCCTGACCTTCTTTGCTTATTCCGATTAGTAAGTATTGCGCAGATCGCAACCCGACTGATCACCGAGCTCGGTTGATTCCTTCTCCACGATTGAACAAGGCACAGAGAATTAGTACGCACTCATATAGTCACTCACTGACCATGTGCAAGCATCAAGCAGTCTTCGATACAAGCGAGAAGCCGTGCGGTTTCTTACGAGATCTGGAAGTACCTCACGTGAAAGTCCTCTGGTTAATCTTCTCCGCTGAAATAAGGAGGTGACTAACGGTGCAGATAGGGTGGCATTCAGTATGGAGTATCGCGCAGGATGCGTTAATACCATGAACTATGTTACTTTATGTTCCCCAGTGCGCTTGATGCATGAGGTTTATCTGGCGTTGCAGCATCCGTGTATCGAAACCGGACATGTTACAGTGTCAAGCGTTCCTGAAAGAGAACTTTCCAACAGATCGAGGGAATGCATCTAGCGCGACCTGGAATGGAACATCAAATTTCTTGCCCTCCCCCCACGTGGTGCGTGTAATGCCTGTCGTTTTTGCCATCCGTTAATAGGAGCTCCAGTATGCCGCAAACTGGTGTATTTATGTGGTGATGAATCAGCGAGTATCAGTCAAGACAATTACTTTTCACAATTATCCGCTAGTCAGCTTGAGGAGCCCTCCTGAACTTGCCCTGTTGTTCGATGAAACCAGAAACGAACTGGAACTGGTGTTCTTGTGGCACAATATGCTCTAATCATGTCCACATATGTTCCGATTTTTACCAACGGTGACAGTAAAAAAAATGATTTACCGCTCCCAGACCGTTGCGCTTAAAACGTACCTTCAAAGCTGTCGAGCATCATCCAAACTTGGCTGCTTGGACCCTCCGGAGCTCCGACTCAGTTGCTTAAACCCAATAAGGCATCCATTTTGCTACCCTGACAAACGTATCGCATTGTGTGATCCACAGGTACGCCTCTCGTTCACCTCCACGGCGGATTTTTTTTAATGAGCGTGCACGCCTTGTTTTCACCAATTGCAGAGCAAAAAAATGTACGTTCTATCACCTACGCACACGGTCAGCATTGGCGTTGATATTGAGAGTGATTAGTGCAGTAGCATGGAGCGTGCACTGTTCGTTCAGCGACGCGATAGACCGTTTCCCGCTCAAGTACAAAACACACATCCTTCCATGCATATGTACAGGAACGCTCTCGAGAGGGGGACGGAAGTCTATGAGCAACCAATGCTCGGACAAGCCAGTGCAGCATACCCAACGACGAGCTACACGGGTGTCCCTAGTGGGGTATCGCAGATGCCCACCACATATCATCCATACATGGGTGGTCCATACGACTTTCAGCAGCCAGCGAGGATAGCGAAGTCCACTGGAATGCGTGCCAGCAACCTCAGCGAAGGCCTCTCACGAGCTGTCGCCCCTCTCGAGGGAGACAGATATATGTTCATTCAGCCCCACGTGTCTAACAGCCGCCCCGTCATCACTTCTTCGTACCCATCCTTATTTCCCTCCTTATCGGTTCCAACTACACAAATGCTGAGCAAAGGGCTCAGCAATCAGCAGAGCTATCTTGCTCCCGGAGGTTCTGTCAATCCCAGCAACCTCACTCTCCGCTCACGGCCTGCATCTCGATCTCATGTTCGATCGCCAGCGGTGAACGTACCTACCGTCAGCGCCATTCCGAACTTTGAGGATCCGATCCGGACACGTGCGCACACCGATGGAGAGGCCTATTCCGCCCTGTGCGAAGACGCTGCTGTTTCCTGTGTCTCTCGACCACTCACCACCTCCCGTCGTGCAAAGTCGAGCTCAACTTCTCGTAATCTCCCGATTGCTGCCACTTCGTCGCGAAGTGCTATGTACGACGTCTCGAAGACCTTGGAAGGTACCACCGATCACTCTGCATCGACTGTCCCTACCAGCATGAAGCCCATGCACGGACAACAGCTAGAGACAATTGTGGAGGTTCCCAGCGAAGAACTATATGCGATGCCGGCATCCGTAGACGATCATGCATCGTCAAGCATCCCTCACGCAGTGGATGAAGTGGATACGGAAGACGTCGTATACGAACCGGAGGAAAGAGAGTGCTATGCCACGGCACCGTCTCACGTAAACGATGCTTCTGCTCAGCAAGACTTTGGGCAGGTCAGTTTGATATTCGAACGCATCGCAGGGCGCCTTGGAATCCCCTTCGAGGAAGTTGTTGCGCGATTTGACGTGTTCAGACTGGACAAACGCGCAGAGCATGATGCGTTTCAATTGTACAAGGCATATTACAACATGCACACGGAGGAGGAATCGAAGCGAGTTCCTCTAGCGACCGATGGCGGTGCGAGAGCCCTCTTCCTTGACGTTTTTTTGATCATTATTCACTGACTGCTTGTCCAATGCCTGCATACAGATATCAGTCACGACGCCGAGCATGTATACAAGTGCTGGCAAGCATTCAAGAATGCGAACCCGTCGCAGTGGCCATCGATCCTCGTGTTTAAGAGTCGCATTCCTGACGAAAGACTTTCAAATGATGCGGCTTCAGAGCGGAGGCGAGTACTAGAATACTTCATGAGACAGCTGAGGTCCACGGTATGTGGTTACTGAAGCTCCATCATCTTTGTACGGATTTAACATGTCGGTTATGCAGCTGGATGCGCTTGCTGAGAGCTACGGTTTCCATTCCGTGCTCATTGTCAGCGGAAATGACATCGTGAGGGACGATGGAATTGGCATGGCGTACGAGTCATCAGAGAGTGAGGGTGTGCGTGTCTTCATACTGATCCGCATTATATGACGAGCTGATGACGGGCGTGATCTAGTTCCTGTGCAAGCTCACGCGTTCGTCCACAGATGAAGTGATAGGACATCTGAAAGCCCACGTGTGGTACGTGCTTTTAGGTTATGATATCGCTGTCATCTCACATTGTGCCAGGAACAATCATTCTACTGCACGGCTCGCACAAGCCATGACGCCGGAAAAAGCCCCCGTGCGGTCAACTCACAATGACGGCCGGTCAAACGATGATGCTCCTATTGAGCCTGAAGAAGCAGCTCAACCTCTCAAGACGAACCCAGATGATCTCTCTGGCATGTCCGATAACAGCCTCCTGACACAGCTTAGGAAGGTCTATGAAGCTATGTTGGGTATGTCTTCTTTAACTGCGAAGGCTGAACTTGAAGTCACTCTTCAGAAGTCCAGCACGGCATTCCTTGTCAACCCCTTCCTTGGGTGAAACTGCCGTGCAAGCTTGCCACGAATGGTCTCGTGTTCGAGAACTGGCCAGAGAACGTTCAGTACCCTGGCCAGGTCGAGTCAGGCAATAAAGGGATCGGAGTTCTCAGCGGTGACGAGCGACAGCGCTTCCTGCGCGCGCTCACGCAGTTACCACAGGAACAGCGTGTCAGGCTCCGTGCATGCGATCGTCAGGGTATGTCGCCACGATATCAGATAGAGGAATCATATTGACACTTGGCTGATTGAGCAGAACTTCGTGATGAGCATGTAGTGCTTATTATCTCGGGAGTGCCTTCCTCCCAGTTCAGTGCAAGCGGACTGCGCGTTTTCTACAATCTCAGAAACAGCCGAATAATCGTCGACCAGCTGAATGATGAGCAGGGAGACCGATTCAAGAAGGTCGAACGCGTGGATGTTGAGGTGGCGGTGCACTCATCGACTTCGCAAAAATGCAAGGTAGACCTGCCAGATGCTCCCAACAAACGTGTACGCTATACAGCGTATACGGAAGACGGAAATTGTGTGGAGCGCTTTCCATCTGATGTTAGCGACGGTGAAGAGGGTAGGACTGGTCATTCATTCAAAAATGCCGTGCTGACATTGCCATCTCTGTAGAACCCTTGGGGAACAGCCAATCGGAGCTAGAGGTGTCCCGACCTGGTCATCAATTCAGCACTGCCAAGAAGGCGGACCTTCCCTCGGCACATTCAGCATCAGAAAAAGTCGAAGGTAAAAGCACCCTCCGTTTTCCAAATGACGCAGCTGATGAACGCCCTTAGCCGACACACACTCATCTAGGGCAGGAAAGAATGTCAGCAAAGGACGTCCTACTCGTATTGCCCGAACACCGACCATTCAGGTCCTGCCTCTAACTCCATCACAGCCTCGGCACGCATCTATTACTGTGGACCATCCGATTGTCAGTACTCAGCGATCGGCCGGCACAAAGGTCAATGCTCAGAACGGTCTTGTGATCAACAAGATGGTGTTGGGCCCCTCGCAGGGAGCGAGGGCCAATGTACAATCACTTCAGGAAGACGCTCGAAGCTGACGTGTGACTCCAAGTCTCGTCACGTCGGGCTCCACCAGGCACGCGGGACCGGCTCGCAGTGAATCAGCGCAATCCGTCCACGGTGCAAGCGAGAGCCATCGTGCGCCTCCCGGTATGGATCGGCAAAGTTCTGGCTCCAGGGGTATGGTAGCGGTAACACAACTGCGCGACACGTCAGCCGCTTCTCCAGCGGTGGAGTCCCCACACAGCAGCTCACAGCGCCTTGCACTCTCCGATGTGCCAGCGTCTCCTCATGCGAGTGCTGCTACGTCTGCAGCAGCGCGAGTCCCCCAGGAGTTCTTGGAGGTGATGGCGACGCAATACCTGAAATTTCAGCAGCAAAAGATCAACTCATTGACTGCGCGCGACGCCGCCCCTCATCATGAGTCGAGCATCGCAAATGCTCTTGGGGAAGGATTCGACGTAGGCCACGGAGATTTCACGCTGAACCTATCCCAAGGATATGCCGGCACTGATGACGAAATGTCTTTGTATATCAATGACGACCTCCTGATGGGTAATTCCGGTGTCAACGAGTAGTCGTTGACATAGGCCACTGTACATTTACTCATGGCACTGTGATCTCCTCTCGCTGCTGCAACCTGCTGTATATATTCATGAAATTCGGTGCATGCACATTATATGCTCCCCATTCACTCATCACACAGGCCCCCCAGATTGCGCGGGGCGCCGCAAACCCAATCTTCAGTGCCTAAACCGCCGTTTGAAATGCTACTACCGCTTTGCACCTTCCGTCACAGGTCGTCTGCTGTGCCGCTTCCCTGGTGAATTGGCTGTGGAAGATTATAGACTACACTATGTGCTGCTTTGCATGTATGACAGTATGTACTTACTACGCGTATGGCCCTGTGGCCACGGGCGATGCACTTGTGGCGGTAAGTGACAGTTCGCGACGATCAGTTACATGACACGCGACGCGACACGTCCAGAGCACGTGGGCGTGTATTATCACAAAATGTCTCTATCGCAGAACGCTAGCTACGGATCTTGAGTAAAATTTTCTTATCAGTCTTGTAAAATTGTTGATACAAATTCTGTCTTCAATAGAATGCTCAGAGTTAAACGTCGCCACATAATCGTCACATCATCATGCCTCCCAAAGCTCCTCATTTTGAGATCTCGCGCTTTGCAGGGCCGTCGAAGCCGTCGGATTTCTTCGAGAATGGATATAGAACAGGGTACGAACCTGCGGCGCGGCTTTTGAAGCTCACCTACCGCAAGTGTTCATAGTTTGCCGTCCCGGTGTCAATCTGATTGTCAGAAAATAATCACTCAAGTCCTGAGCAAAGACTCACCTATGAGGGTGATGATGAACAGAGAAGGATCTCGTAACATCTCTGGCTGCTCTTTTGCAATGCGGATCAGTTTAGATCTATGGCACGCCTGAGGGTTGTTGCGGGAATATCAGGCTGGAGATACAATGCAGAACATGGGTAGCCAAATAAATTATCTGGAATCCTTTCGGGCCCCAAGTCCATACTTCTCTGGCTGAATGCATTCATCACCATGTAATGCTCCTTTTCACATGTCCTAATACTGATAGTAATTTGAGGTTTCGGATCATTTCCAGTCGTTCCCGAAGCAACACGCCCAAGACGACGTAGCCAGCCATCAATTCTGTCTCAGGTTCGAGGGACGATGGAACGTGCTGCAGACGATGCGTGTCCCGGGCTGCTTGAAGTAGTTGCGCTTGCGTACGCGCCAGCATTTATGTGCAATCGAGTCGTCGAGCGCTGATGAGGACGTTATAAAATTGAGGCTGTCGTCCGAGTTCATCTCCTCTGGAGGCTTTGCTTTCAAGGAGTAATAAGTAAGACGTACGATCTTTCCATTGGCGAAGAAGTACGTGTTGACCACGATGTCACGATGACCGGAGAACGTCTTGGTGTGGAAGCTTCACAGGGGTCCAGTGTGAAGAGATGAGCGATCATGTCCCGTGATGTATTGAGGAAACATCTGCGCCTTATTCAAGTCCGAATCATGGCTAACAAATGGAATCAACTCACTGAGAATCAGAATCAGGAAACCATTCAATGCTCAACACCTCGTCATGATGACCAGTGTATGTCCTGTATTGGTTGAACGGGGCGAATTCCCGGGTGATTCGGCGCGTGCCAGACCTGCACGTACGAATCGATGGCTTACTGCGATGAACCTGAAGAATATCAGCAATGAGAGATCTGGCATTCAGGAACTTGAGGCAGCCTACTCACTTCTCATCTGGAGAGAATTGATCGACTTGACGGGCTTGTGGAAGCGGGAGTGGTGAAGAACGATGCGTCTCCGGAAGTTGACAGGTAGTGCACGTCCATCTGGAGGAATGGTGCGCACCCATGAAGACAACTGAAGGATTATAGGGCGCACCTTCGTCCACACTAACCAGCCCATTAGAATCCGGGTTCAGCGCAATGGCTGCATTGTTCTTGCGACTCTCAAATGGGAATGTGCGAGACTTGTTGCTGGGAATCATCAAACGTTATCCGACACGTTTAAATGTTGATAGACTCACTTCACAAGATAGAACACAGACACATCCGATTGCCGACGGGGTCAAGCACCGGTTGCCGTCAGGAGTAGGAGTGAAGACGATGATTTGCCCTGTCTGTACACAGTCCGGCAGCAATTTGAGAACTATTATCATGTTAGCAATGGTGGGTGTAAGACAGATATCAAACCGAGGACTACCATGAAGTTAGCCAAGAATATTTAGACTGGCAGCGTTTGCGCAAATGCAACACCGACGGTCCGAATGGCACTCTCAACACTTCCCGAGAAGCAGCTGAAACTCGCGACATTCTCCAGAGTCCGACCACGAAGTAACTTACTATATACCGAGTTGCCTACGATCTTCACACTAAAATCTATCTCCATGATACGGCTTGGACTTGAGCAAATGCAACCCGATTCCACGGGACTACCTTCAGCAATCGCAAACGGTTCTGGGGGCATTGGCCCGGTCGGTGCCAGGACGACTACCCCCGGCGCCTCAGTCTAGTTCATCTCGCCATGGCCACATGATTCAAGGTCATATTCCATTTGCAGCTCAGAAGCCAAACAAGATTGCGATTCACGAAGATGTGCACAACGATAGAACATCTGCTGGGTCTCGAAAGGCTTTATGCAACGGCTATAAGGCGATTGAGGCCTTGCGATAGACTTCCTCAGCTTCGTCCGCATCTCATCCTCCCAATCCACCTTGTCACGCATCAGCATGTCCCAAACTCCGAACGCCGCCTCCACGCCTGTGCCCGCATTGCCGCGATCACCCAGTCGCGCCCCACGTTCGGCGACGGTATCTGTCCTGCCTTTAGCAGCAAGTCTACCAAATCCTGCACCGTCTTCAGTACCTGCCGTGAGTTATTACGCCCATCCTCAGCTGTCTCGATCAACCCCGGATCAGCGTCCCCATCGTCTGATAGCTCAACTGCCCCACCCTGAGCTCCCGCGCTCGCCGCAGCAGCGCCTCCGCCAGTACGATGTCTCGATACACGACTGCATGGTGGATCACCGACCCAAATCGCGTCGGGCATCAGCCCACCGTAACCATCCGCTCCAGCACACATGCGGCCGCCGTGAAGTTGTACTGTGCCAGCATCTCCAGCACGACGTTCACATCCACAAGGCCCAGCACCTGCCGCCGTTTCCTGAAACATCCGCAGACCCTCCTCCAGCCGTCCCAACATGAATGCCGCACGCGCGAGCGCGTTGAGCTCGAAGTGATGCGCATGTATCAGCGGCCGCCGACTCGCATAATACGTTGTGAACACGCGCGTCGCGAACTCTTTGAAATCGGCTTCCCTATGCTCGATGACTGTCGTGATCGAGGCTGTACTGTCGATACCGACACGCCATCTGCCGAATGGGAGCACGGCTATGGCGGACGTCTCTGTGACTCCGACTGGCCCAATTCTCAGTGGCGTCCACTCCTCCTCACTGGTCCAGTCGCCCTCCATGCCGCCTCGCAACAATCATCAGGACGGGATAGACTTCGACCTATTGGATCTGGCAATGGAGTCATTGGTCCGACTGCAGGAGATTCTTGATGAGGCTTCGGAGGGAAAGGCAAAGGATGTCTATGCGGACCTCGTCGAAGCGGAGGGCAGCGGTATGGCCAACTAATGCACGGAGGTGGATACAAGGCGTGGAATAAGTAAGAACGGCTTTCGTGTCATAGAATCGCAATGAGCAGGAGACCAGGGGAAGGGGCACACGCAGAGGATGAGATGATGTAGTAGGTAGCGAGCCTGTTTGAGAGAAAGTGTTCAGCTTCAAGTCCCGCTCAGAAATGTACAGCGTACCATTTTATTTATTCTAGGTTTTCGAACAATAAGACCATATCGCGCGATGGCCGGGTTCCGTAAGCAAAGGGCACAAGGCGGCCAAAGCGCAGCATTGACACAAGCGCCCGAACCGCGACGTGTCATTCTGGTTCACCCGAGCTGCGTCCCCTTTCCAACTTTCCAGCTCAACCCACTCGTCTGGCGCACGTGGGTTCTTACTCGAGGAGGCTCCCAAACATGCCTGGGAATGGTCGGCAGCCCCTGACGGGCGAGTGTCTGATGTGGCTTGACCGATGGGCTCGCTTGGCGTGGCACCATGAACCTTGCTAAGCGCAGTAAAATCAACACTTGGTGCTCCAACACGAGTGACAACCGCGGAGGATGCTGGATCTACAGATTGAGGCATTTTTCCAGTCGAAACTGACTTTCGCTGATTCAAGTCTAGGTCCCTGCGCAGGCCAAGAAAGCTCCCGTGGTGGAAATGCCTCGTCCGCGCCCTCGAGCGGCACCGACACAGCCACATCTACCACCTCACTGTCACGCAGCTTGTCCTCCTCCTCAGCATTGTCCAGTAGTGTGGATCCCTCTCGTTTCGCGAATCTTGTGAATAGACTCACAACATAGAGCATCGCACCTGCGTTGCCCTCGATGAAGGTCCTATCATTTCTGCTTTCCACAAAAGCGTACCACTCCCAAAGCATGCGTGCATGCGTTGCGAACCCCGCGAGGCGACTAGCCCGATGAAGCGCTCACGATCCAGCACAGGTAGCGGAATCTGTGCTTCCAAAACATGCGTCGCGAGCTGCCGCGCTAGGTGAGCCTTCTTGATCTTCTTTGTAAGGTGCGTCATGAGCCAGACGAGGAGAGGAGACGTTCTTGAGGAGGCGGATAGGCCTTCTGTGGCGTAAACGAGACAGAATAGACGACCTCAGCAAGGTGAGCTTTAATTGAGAAGCAGTGTACCAGAATAGCTTACCAGCTGTTGACCGCCATCCTAAGTGAAGAACAGAGTGCACCGACATAGTCATGATAATGAGAGAGAAGTCCGTCGACATGAGATTCGCATGGTACACCACGCTGGAAGGCACACTATGAGTCTCCACGAGCGCATTCACAATCTCCATCGAGCGCAAGCGCGTCCCCGCCGCTGTGAGATCGCATGCAATGAACATCAGCAGCTCGGCTGCCTTGTGGGGGCGATGCCGAACTTCGTCCAATTCTGACTGCGCTCTTGCGTCTGCTAAGACTCCAATGAGTAGAGTCGCAAGAGTGTCATTGATCTGAGTGTCGAGCCTAGGATGAGCAGGGAGGTTCAAGATCGCTATCGCTATGGGTACCCGGTTATGTTCGTTAATGGACATGAGCTGGCCGGAAGAACGGAGAGCGCCGAGCCAAGGCAGTGACCTGTTCCTTGTCCAGGAAGTTTTGCTGCATGAGAAGGAGGATATTTTCGAGCATGATGGAGCAATATGTTTGTCCGACGTGGTGCCAATTTGACAGGATGTCCTGGACCAGCAGGCGGGCGATCTTGTCCTTTTTCTTCTCCGCAACTGCCACCAGTATGGGCGTGGCGTACTCCAGATTAGTGTCCTTAAACAGAGAAAGGCCCTGCTCATGCAATGTAGCGTAGAATGCGAGAGGGTCGTCTTGAGGCGACGGGTCAGCTCTCCGCCGCATTTTCAGGATCTTGAGCCGCTTGCCAGTGGGTCGCCTGGGAGGCGGGAGCGGATCCAGCTTCGATTTGGCAGACCAGCCAGTCAGATTCAACGGGCTCGCCCCTGTTGACGACTTCGATCGAAGCTTGGCACTGTGAGCATGTATCGTTGCCAAAGCAGGGTTGTTCGCGATGGAGACGATCTGCTGGACGGAGAGATGAGCAGCTGCGAAGAGCATGCTGCTGGTGGAAGAGGATGCATTTCCCAGGGGTCTAGCTGTGATCCGAGTTAAGTGGAGCTGGGCATGAGAGGGATCGACGAACACTACCTGGGGGATCGTCTCCGCATTCGTTGACCAGTAGGGATAAGTCTTATGCTACATATATGCACTGATTAGAGCTGTTACTATGCGCATATCACCGACTTGCCGTCATATATGACGGGTTGCGTTCCGCGGACGTCGCGGTGGGGTCGTTGTAGTACAACTGGTGCACGGATGTCGAGAATGGCCCAGGTACAGTGTACGCGACCGGGCCCAACAGATTGCCCGGTGTGGCAACACGGGAAACCCAGAGGGCATTGGCGGCTATGCGATATTTCCTGCGCGTCATTTATTGACGCTCTCTGGGATGGTTCAGGGGCCAAGAAGCACCTTTGAATATCCTCGGAGGCAAGTAAAAGAACGTCCGCCCATCTTGTGTGGATAAGGGCCGACGTGCGTCGCGTAACTGACTTCGCCCAGCTTGACAGACCGCTCTCACGAATGAACACATATTGTGACATGAGGGCGCTCTTCAGGTCATTATTAAAAACCCGGCTCAGATGACCGTTCTGAAGGGATTCTGTCGTGAAGATACCATGGTAAAGACATGCGACATGGGACGAACCGTGACGTAGTACATAGCCCCTGGGATGTATTATTGACTCCGTGCTGTGCCACTGTCGACAGACTGCCAACAGATAATATTATCATCTTGTCCTCGGGGTCGCCAGACATCGATGTGTTTGACGGCCGGGAAAGCATGCCTCAGCACGCAACTCTGCTCTACAGTCAGGAGCAAGCCTGAGCGATATTGTGGATGTTACCATGCTCCATTTTTCAGTCCTGATTGCCTCTGGAATAAAGGACAGTATGAGCGGGATATACCGACATTTTGAGTGTGAATCGAAGCCTACGCGATGCAGCAGCTACGGAGCTTTGGGTTCCTGTCTTTTCTAATTGATCCGGTAATTCTCCCAGCTGAAGCTGCGACGGCAGATGGTGATACAAGTACGAATACAGCTGCAAAAAGAAGAGAACAGCACGGGCTCATCACGGGTTCGTTCTCATCAGGCAGCAGCAGTACGAGCCCGGGCGAGCGACAGAGCGAAACCGTGAAGTTAATTAACATCTAACATTTCTTTGATAAATTGACGCCGACCCGTTACGATGACACTTCTATCTCGTTCCTGCTCGCAGTTGGCTGTAGTATGTCTGAGACATGGCAATTAGCAGGTCCATCGCGTCACTCTGTGAGCTTGCCTAATTACATACCTTGCGAGAGTTCTGTGCGATGTTCACCCGGATAGATGGTCGCAAGTGCGAGTAGTCCAGCAGCCTGGACACCCGCCAGCTGCCTCCCCGCATACTTGGAATGGAGGACCGTGCCATGGCTGAGCCGTAGGATCCCGCGGAGATGCATCGACTGAGATGCGCCTCCAGTTGGCGATCTGACAGCAGCGTTCGAAGATATTGAAAAAGGTGAAGGCAGAGGACTCTGAAGGTTGAAGGTTGAAGGTTGAAGTCTTGAAAAAAAGTCAAGTTGAGCGAAAGACAATCGGTGCGACGAGGGGGGAACTGAGCACGATGTGCGTGGAGACAGGAACATATCAATAGCAACGGCAGGGTTCCGCGCCTTTCGGGCACATGATCGCGTTTTGCGAGGACGCGTTGAGTCGCGTCTGTCACCTGACAGGCGTGGTATACAACCCAACGCCTTCTATGGCCCACGGAGGGCTAGTATTGTAGAATCAAAGGCTTAAGATAACAGTCAAGCAGTAACTAGTCACCGTTCAAATGTTCAAGACCTACAAGATTTTAGGCGCTTGAGGACGTGTTGATCAAGTTCTCCGAAGGCCTCCAGTCATAGAACCGTGACCGTAACTCAATAATTGTGACTCAGGCTGCTGGAGTAACTAGTCACCGTTCAAGATTTTAGGCGCTTAAGGACGTGTTGATCAAGTACTCCGAAGGCCTCCAGTCATAGAATCGTGACCGTGACTCAATCATTGTGACTCACGCCGGAGACTGTGCATTGCCTCAGGTGAGCTTGATGCTTGAACGTTGAACATTTGAACCTTGAGTTTGATTGAAATGATTGAGGCCTGAGTCCCTGAGGCTTTGAGACTTGAATCGAGGGCTTGAACCTTTAGTTCCCTTGGACTCTGGACCTTGAGGCTCATCCCAAATGATTGGGGACAATGATTATTATTTAAAATATTTCAGCATGTTGCATGGCACAACCTAACCATCTGCACCAAGACTAGAAAATAAAGTAATAGCTGAAACCCAAAAGTTTTATATGTATTTAGAGAGCCCTACGGCGTATAACAAGATGTCAAAGAATGCTACACCCACAGGTGTGACAGGAATGCCAGGGCAAAGGACCCACGACACCGCTGGGCGCTCGAATGGTCATCGGCGCTTACCTGATATAGGAAATTGAACGTCAATTCCCCGAGAGAAGCATTCTTTGAGCCTTTCTCCCTCTTTACAATCTAATCCCACACATCGCCCTCACCACAATCGCCACCACGACGTGCCTCCGCATCCGCGACCACAGGTGCTATTGTTATGCACCAGCAGTACCCTTCAACCACACTCTGCGAATGCACGGCAGGTGACAATCCGCACTGCGGCATATGGAGTCACATACGGAGAATGACAGAAAGCTGCAACCAGGTCGCACCATGCGTCCGTTCCTTCCCTCTGCTCACCAGTCTCTCCATCTCACCTCCCCTGAGCCGCGGCGTTCCGCCTCTCAACCCACTCGACAACTTCTCCCAGGCCACTGACGACCTCCACGCCACGCAAATCCTCGTCATCCTCCTTCGTCTCCCCCTCCCCCGCGGGCCCGAGGCGCCGAAGCAGCAGCGCCGAGAGGCCCGCCGCGCGTGCGCCGTTGTAATCTCTGTACATACACGGTCGCAAGGTTGATGACGGTCCGTAGTACATCAAAGAGCCAAGCAGCCAATCAGCCGGGACGCAACGAATATTCGAGAGTGGGCTCAGATACGCACGCATCCAGCTCGTCCCCGACGTGCACCGCCTGTGAGGGGGGGACGCTCGCCCGCTCGCAGGCACGGAGGAAGATGTCACGAGCGGGCTTCTCGATGCCCTCGGTCTCGCTGAGCAGGATCGGGCTGAGGTACGGCGTCGCACCGAGCGAGGTGAGGGCTTGGTCTGCAGGATGATATGAGGTGGGTTGGTGGACGAGCGATGGGTCGAGCGAGGGACTCACGCATGCGTGCGTCGGAGTTGCTCACGATGCCCGTGCGGATGTCCACCGCGCGGAGATGCTGCACTTGTCAGGTGGGGCGGCGTTAGCGGCGGACATGAAGATCGAGAAGAGCAGAGTCACAGAAGCAATGCGTGGTGGGGTGGGCTGCGCAAGAAGGGTGACAGGAAGCAAAAGCTGGCTTAATTCATCCACTCGGAGCAGAACAGTAGCAGTGGCTTTGCTAACCATACTGATCAGATGAGGAGAAAAAGGCCCCCAAGGTGGAGGCCTGATCCAAAGTTCCTAAAATCGGAGATTATCGTCCAGCATAACCTGACCCAAAATGTCCGGATCAGATCAGCACAGGCCTGAGCACTGATTTCTATCAAACGTCCTGACGCTGGGATGTGGCCCCATGTGCAAGGGCACTATTCCCAGATCAATCCGACCGAGTCTGAATATCCAACGATATTCTCGGTACATCTTTTTCAAAGCCCGGCCATAACGTCCGGATTTAGAATCCTGGGACAAATGCCCAGATGGTGGTCCAGGAATAGCTGTCGCCGAGGAGGAATAACACCCGAATGAGGCCAGTTCTGACCCCCCTTCCTGAGGACCTTTTCCCCCCGAAATCGGCTCAGGCCTCCTCTTCAATTGTCATGGAATCCTGGAGAAAGTCAGCGCGGAAATAGTGTAGGCCGTGTGGCGTTCCCAGCCTGGCTTGTTGTAGATGCGTGAACGAGGCTTATATGCGTCCATCCGAGCCCCCACTGCTTCTGCATACTCGGTTGGACGAGGGCGGGAGGTCTACGATCGAGCGCACGCAAAGATGGAAAGGTACGTACGTGCAGGAAGCGCATCATCAAAAAGCTTGTAACCCTCGCGGGACGAGAAGCGGAGGAGGAGGCGCCGGACAATCTCTGCGAGCGAGCGGTCGACGGCTGTACGGCGCGAGCGAATCAAATCCGCGAAATAGGATCATCGGCGTTTCAGCCGGGAGAAGGGCAACATCAGGAAGGAGAGCGTGATATCGTCCGTTTGAGTGCGACGGGCAATGATGGATGGGCAGTAATATACACGTACCCGCAGGATCCGCGCCCGCGCCAACGGCAGTGCGGCGGATGACCTCGCCCCACCAGCCTTCGGAGCCGTGCTGGTGGCTATACGCGGGCTTCTCTGCTTGCACCTGCTTCAGAGCTGCCCGCGCCCGAGTCCCACATGTTAGCTTCAGCGGACCGCAACGCAAGCTCGCGCGTACCGAGCTTGAAGGCGCGTTTGAGCGCGACAGGGTCGAGCGTGCCGAGGTAGGGCTCAAAGCTTTGGGAGTATTGGACGTAGACCGGGAGGCGCGGGGTGAGAAGGGTGTGCAGCGCGTCGAAGAGGACGAAACGGATCGGATTGAGGGCGCTAGACATTGTGTTTACAGCAAAGCGATTGTCATTGCAGGAAAGGCACTAAGAGTGAAGCTCTTTTCCCATCAAGTGAGTAGTTTTGGGTTGGAAATGGCCCGTTTCGCACCTTTCCTGGGCGTTAATTTACGCCAAAGACCCTATGGCAACTGAGCAACTTAGAAAATGATAAGGTGTCGTAGAAGGAGATCCACAAATCTCCACGTCTTTCTCACAATAGGAATCTTTGCAGCTATGATTGCGATGTCGGCCGGATGAAGCTAGATCTGCGAGAGTAACGTTGCAGGCTACGCGAACGGGTAATTGGAGACTGTGTAAGTGCGTACCGATGCCAATCGAGTTTGGCTTGAGGAAACCTTATGGAAAGAAAGGTGAAGTTCAGGACCAGCGTGAGAAACGAGCGCAGGGCCGAACGCTTGCTTACTAAGCAGGCGAAAGAAAGAGACGCGCCCACCTGACGTCGGTCTCGCTCGCTTTGCTAGATTACGCGAATGGATAGTCGGAGACTGTGTAAGCGCGTACTGATGTCATCCGAGATTGGCTTGAGGAAACTTGTCGAAACTCGAGAGAAGGGCTGATTAAAAACGAGCGGTGAGAAGCGACTCGATGCAGGCTGTCACGCATCACGGGTCACACCCATTCTACGTGGGGAATGTATGTCGCTCAACAGGCCACCCACGGACATATAAAGGCGTTGAAATATGACCTGATTAAGCACCCCGAAAATAATAACAATCTTTACGTCGTCAGCAGCTGCGAAGACCTGCGATGACACCAGACGACCAAAGACGTCCACAGACGCGATTGTGGCGTGGGAATGCGCTCCTTTTCCATAGTTGGATCTCTCGTCTGCCTGTTCGGGTTGCACGATCTGTTCCCGCTGACCTTGTGCGAGATGCGCGCCGATTCGTTTACGCACTCCCTGCCGACGGGATTGCCTCAATTGCGGCGCGGGGCCTGCGATCTCGAGACTCAATTTGATGGGAATGCTCGTCCGGGCCGTCCTGGACTGTTTGGGATGAATGAACGGTGTGAATCTGCTACGACGCGACAAGGCGAGCGGCTGCCAAGCTGCAGGAGCTCAGGATGGCCAGAGGGTCAGAACGTACGCGACGTTGAGCTCTTGTTCTGTCTGCGCATATACACTTACCATGACCTTACAATGCGCTCAGCTATCAGTGCTCGCTTAATCGAGCAAGGCACGTCAACCATTCCTCGCCGGGCGGGCATGTCGCCGTCCGACGTCTAGTCTTCACGCGAGGTTACGTGTAGATCTCTCAGCAATGAATGCCTTCGCGTCGCGCGAAGAAGGCCATAGACGGGTATATGGGCGGGATGCACATGCTCCGAGGAGGGGCGCCTGCAGAGTCCGGACATTCCCGGGCGCTTACATGACGCGCAGAGAACCGCTCTTCCTAGGGAACGCTCCTCCCCGTCCTGGTGCGCGACCCACAGTGATCCGCACCGCTCGTCAAGATGCAGCTCGGTCCCCGTCGTGGGTGATGCTTGTCCAGCTTCGCCGTCTTCTAATTTTGATTGCGAGATGGAGACGGTGGAGGCCGAGGCTTCGAGCTTCGCGGATGCTTCACGAGGTGTCCGCCGTTGCACGAGGTTCGCCCAGCGCCGGTCAGACGCGTGACAACGTCCACGGCAGTCCTCCCGCGCACCCACAACCTATATAACCCCCGCGCGTCTCAGAGCTCTCGTCCACCTCTTGGCTCCGTCCCGCCCTTGGTCCCAGTGCACCTGCATCTCTTGTTGTCAACGTACCCGGCTTGCGGATACGCCTGCTGTTGTGGTTGCTGTAGATACACTCCTTGGTGTTGTGCCCGTCTAGGCATATTTCAGACGCTCGCTATCTCGCTCGTTTGCTCAAATCCGTCACTCGCCCCTTGTGCTTGTTTCCACCATCCATATCGTCCTTAGCCTCTCCACCTGCTTGCTTCGATGGACCAGACGCAAGCTCCCGTCCCCTTCCCTACCCTTACTTGCCCCGCTGACGAGGTACGCGCTGTTCTTCCGTGCCTCCAATAGATAGCTTATATTTCATTTTTCATGCTGTTCGGCTTATCGACTGGCTTCCATCGGTGCATTCATCAATCTACATCAGGTCGAGACGCGCCCCTCACTTCCCTCGCGCGTGCACTCTTCTCCCTCCCTCCCCGACCTCTGGTACGTAAATTGGACGCATACATGCGCCGAGGCAGCGCGCAAAATAGAGCAGCTACTGATTCACTGCCCGGAATTTAGGCCGCTCAGCCAAAGCCGAAACGGGCACGCACAGCGCTTTCAGGCGCTCTATCGCCCACATCTCCACCCGCTCGACCTCGCCGCGACGCCCCCAACGACGCCTCCGCGCAGTACGAGCAACACCGTCACGCACGCCCATACCGTTCCCGTGAAGCGCAGCACGTCAGGCTCTCCCTGTCGGCCCGCCCCGCTCCTCACGCCGCCGCTGACACCGTCCTCATCGTTCCAGACCCACGACGGGCCGGTCACCCCGCCCGAGATCGGTTCGCCGCTGCGTTGGGTGCACGCCGCGCCCGAGTCGCCGACCGCGCTCAAGGGCTGTGGGCCGCTCCCAACGCGGGGCGGGTATCTGACGCCGTCGAGCGGCCGCTCGCAGAGCTTCTCGTCGGATGTGGATGGGGAGTATGTGGCGGTGCAGGAGGGCGCGGATGCGGTGTCTGTGTTAATCTCGGGATTGACGAGCATGGATATCACACCGCGGGAGGAGCGCAAGGTTGGCTCGGTCGGCGAACCTGCCTTTGCGGCGAATGCGAAACTTGGTGACGAACAGGACGACGCTGATGCGAGTCGCTTTTTGCTGGTTAGTATTTTATGATGGTTTAATGCTACTAATCGAAGTTTACTGACTATATGCGCCGGTAGGTCCGTGATGTTCCCTTGAATGCCTCCTCTGCAGACCTGCGAGAGGCGTTTGCGCCAACTGGCGATGTGAAGGGCATTTGGGTCCCCTTCTTAGAGTCGCACGGCGTCATCATCCTTGCATATTACGATATCCGCCATGCGACCCGGGCGCGCAGTCTCATTGCTAACCAGGCGATACCCGGGCTGGAGGATGCGCATCTCGCTGCGAAATATGTGAGCGCCGAGCAAATCGAGAGGGTGGGTGCTTTTAAACATTTCACGCTCCCGGGTCGGCTGATACGAGCGGCGTGTGCAGGTGATTGGAAAGTCGGCGTTTGTAGATGAGACGGACGGCACGCTCTATGTGTCTGTTGCAGACCGCCGCTTCCAGTCTGCTGCGCTGCAGAAGGTCTTAGCTTCCCTCGGCGAGCTTATGTCGTACAAGGCTGTTGACTCGCAGGAACAGGTGTGTATTCTTGGAAGCCGTTAATTCGCATGCATACTCAACCTTTTCCTATCTCAGAATTTCCAAGTCGAGTACTACGACGCGCGCGATGCGGCCAATGCGTACCGCGCTTTTCACGATCGCATTTTCCTTGGTGTCCGTCTTCGGCTGTTGACGAAGAAGGACGCACAGACGATGCAGTCCTCCCCATGCTTTTCGCTCGAGGATCCGTTCCAGCCTAGCAGCCCGGCCAGTCCGACCGCCCGGAGGCTGCCGATGCTGCATGTGGATACGTGTCAAGACTTGCAGCAGCAGGCAGATAGGGAGTTGCGTTGCACCGAAGGTACGTTTAGGATTGTCCCTAGTACACGGACAGGTGGTCTTAACCGTTTTATGGATGTAGGCCGTGTTCGTCCGCGTAGTGTCAGCGCGAGCGAGAATATGGGTGCGCCTGATGCTGTTCGTAGGCTTTGGAGGGGAAGGGAGTCGCCTCAAGAGCATAGCAGGCGAGTGTCGAATGATTTGTTTTTCGACGCTGTTGGCAAGGTACGAGCTCTATCAATGCTCATTTTCATGGTTCTGATGAAAGTGTCTGGTAGGGTACTGTGTCACCGCAGACTCCTTCCCGACCCAGGAGCATCAGCATGGGCCCCGACGACATCGCGAAGGCTCAGCGGTCTAGTTATGATGACGCGGAGACGTCCGAAGTGTACCAAACTCAGGAAACCGCATATCCTTCAAGCTACGGTGGCTCGTCGACCTCCGCGTACGCTCCACAGGAATACTTGTATGCGCAGGCCGTGCCCCAGGCTCAGTACCCAGCATATGGTTCTGACGGACACGCGGGCACCAACGGTCAATGGGCGTTCAGTGCTCCGGCAGCGCCGTCGGTTGAATACTATCTGCCCCCCTCCCCGCGAGTACCACACTATCACTCGCAGGCTCTCCCCTCGACGCCGAAGAAGGGCTTCTCTCCGATGTACCAACGCCGAGACGAGCGGACGGAATGGGCTCCCACCGAGGAGGACCCATTTGGGAGGTCAGCTTATAGTCCCGATGCACCTGTCCCCCAGTCGGCCGTTTCGTACGGCAGTTCTTTGGAGCCCTCGCCGACTATGGACGGTCGCACGTACTCGGGCAGACGCGGAAACGTGGATTCGGGCATTGCGGAGAAGAACCAGCTGAACATCGAGGCGATCGAGCAGGGGAAGGATATGCGGACGACGGTGATGATCAAGAACGTCCCGAACAAGATGAGCGACAAGGAACTTAAGGCGTTCATTGATAGAGTGTGCCCGCGGCGGATCGACTTTTTGTACTTGCGGATGGACTTCAAGAATGGTGAGTCTATTCTGCTGGTATGAGTGGTGTGGAGTGCTGATGGAGGGATGCAGGCTGCAACGTCGGCTATGCCTTTGTCAACTTCATTACGCTTGGTGACTTATTGCACTTTGCGAAGACGCAGATTGGCGTCAAGTGGTGAGTGGACAATAGTGTGCTGTTGCTGTAAGGGTGACTGACCGTTGATGATACAGGAACATCTACTCGAGTGACAAGGATTTACGGCTGTGCTACGCTACTTATCAGTACGTCTCAGTCAAGGGCGCCACTTGCTTAGTACTGACGTTCGGTCGCAGAGGAAAGGAAGCGCTCATGGAGAAGTTCAAGAACTCTTGCATCATGGACGAGCGCGAGGCGTGGCGACCGAAGATATATTATTCAGCCGGGCCGAATCAGGGCCTGCCTGAGCCTTTCCCGCCGCCCACGCATTTGCGAAGGAAGGAGCGAAGCTCACACAACCGCGGAGCACTGTTTGTGCCTGGCGCGAACTTCTCTCATCACCGCCGCGGGGACCGGGATGGGGACCGAGATGGGAACGGGACCCCGACGTTGTACCATCACCGGCCGCACCCTCCGCGCATGAGTAACCGGATGTGATTGCTAGAAGGATCGCTCAGAGCCCGTGCTTCGCCTCGCAATACTTTACCGTCAAATCGTCGCTGCTTAAATCGTCAAGTTTCGCTGCTCGAATCGCTCAATACTAACTCGCTGCAGACCTCTCGCGCACGTCTCTCGTTTCGCCCTACTCAAGATCGCTCCATGATTCCGTCGTGGTGCCTTCTCGCTATGTCCCGTTCACCATATATATTCTCGCTTCCCTCGCAAGCTCTCGTCAATCTCTATTGTATTCAAGATGGACTCGTTCAGTGCAGCCATCCATTTCCGCCCGATATGCATCGAAGCTATAACTAGTGTCTGCTTAGTGCTGCAGTTGTCTCACACTCCCCGCTCATTTACTCGTACTGACTGCGTGGTGTCGTAGCTTTGTCGTTGTGAGGTACGCTTTCGTGCCCGAGTCGATGGCTAGTTTATGAACTCTAGTCTCCATGTGTTCCGCTTACGGTTACGTTCGGTCTCGACCGGTGTAGAACATGTAGATGTTATATTAGTAGCAAGGATCCCCAGCAAATAAATCAGAGTATATTTCGACATGCGGAAGGTTGCCTGAAGTCCCCGGTTTTTGGACGCGTGACACGGAGCCACATGCTCGTGATGCGACGCGACTTGTCACGCTCATGTACCCTCTCTTGACTCTCGACTGCCATTCAGCGGACGAGTCGACGTTGAGGCTGTTAAAAACCACGGACCGCCTCTATCGATCTCAAGAAAAAAATGGACAACTCCTATGCCGTGCCCACGCCGAACCCGAGCACGACCAAGCGCAACGTGCGCCCTCCACTGGCGAGCAAGTCGGGACACCAAAGCGCATACAACTCCCACCTCGGCCACCGTGTGCGCACGCCTACTGAGACGCTCGACCTCGCTGAGAAGATGTCTCCCGACGCGGATAGTAACGGCGTTACCCCTGGTCTGCCTCCTGCTGGCGACGGTGCTGCTCTAGGTCTGGGTCTGGGGTCTCCTGGTGTGATGAAGCTCCTATCGTTCTGGTTCCCGGCGGGCTCCCAGCTCTCTAGGCAGCGCTTCTGGTACTTGAGGCTGGCGATGCTCCTGTACTGCGCGCTGAGCACGGTGTTCTTCTCGCTGAGTCTGAGGGCGATGATCTACGCGGAGGCGCCCGGCGCCGCGGACGCTGCTCGTAAGCTTTATACTTGGGTGGCTACCTATTGAGTCTGGAATGAAGGTGTAGAAGTACCGGAGTCGAACCCTCTGGAGGCGCTGCCCATGGACCATCTCCTGTCGAAGCTGACCTCGATCTATCCGCCGCCGAGGGCGCTCGATGCGTATGTGCTCAAGGGACACTCTGACCTCAAGGGCGTCACCGCATGCCTATGGGCGACTGACCAAGACCTTAACCTCGTCCTCCCCTGGGCGTCCCGCTGGACAGGTATGCTCGTCTCGTTTCCTCCACTCTCAACCTACGTATCACACGTATCGCAGGCCCGATATCGCTACTGGTAACGACGACTGTGGATCCCTCCTCCCCAGAACACGAAGCGCTCCTGTACCGCGTCTCGACGCTACAAACGAAGAACCCGCTCCTCAACATCACGCTCTCGCTCCACCTCGTCCACCTGGCCCCGCGCACGCCCGACAACCCCAACGCGTTCCTCAACCTCGCACGTCTCCTCGCGCCCACCCCGCGCGTCGCGCTCTTCCCCGCCAACCTCTCCACCCTCCCACCACGTGCGCTCTACGCAGGCCTCCTCGCCCCCGCCGCGTCTTCCGCACTAGCCGTCGAGCCCGAGCCGCGGCGCAGCCCGGTCGTGCTCACTTCGCGCGGGCAGACGGGCTTCCCGTTCGCCCCGCTCGCGCCGGCCGTGCTCGGGCGCGACGACCCGCTGTGGTGCACGGAGCGCTTCTTCCCGCCGACGACGCGCGCGGCGGACTGGGAGGAGTGCGTTTGGCAGCTTTGGCTCGAGAATTTTGGCGACGTCGAGGTCCGCCAGACGCGTGGGTGGCTGCACGAGGCCCTCGCTACGTCGCCAACGTCCCCGGCTGTGGATTCGAGTCCGGTGGTCAGTATTTGGTGATATTGTGCCAGAATTCTTATTGTGCTGATTGACGTTTTGACAGGCGAAGCTTCGCCGTCGCCTGGTTGCCAAATTCAGAAGCGAGACCTGCGTTCTGGCCACGAGGCAGCTGGCTGCCCTCCGCAGTGCCGACAAAGCCATGGATGCGAAGAAGGCACGCTGGCTCAAGCGCGTGTGCCGCGCGTGGACGAACTCTAATCCTGCATAGTCAAGCGTGGAAGACGACTGGATCAAAAGATTACCTATGAGTGAAGTATCGGACCTGGACTTTGAAGCATGAAATTGTAGATAACTTGGGAATCGTAGATGGTATACACGTGCATGTCAGTCCTAAGTAAAGCAATGGGGGATGTCATGAGGAAATCGTAACGAAAGCTACTCGGTATCAGAGTCTGGCGGATGGTGCATCCTCGCCTCTTGCTCCTCGTCATCGAGGTCGGTCCGATTGTCACCAATCAACTCCTGTGGCACCTGGAATGCAGAAAACACAAGCTCGTGCTCGGGACCATCGACGAGCAGCCCGAGCATCTCCTCCGACATATCTACACGAAACGCATACCATCAATGTCTGCAGCAGTGAGGCGGAGGACCGCGGAAACGTACCGATGGCCTGATCCAGCATCGACCGCAACTCGGTGCTGACGTCCTGCGGCGGCTCCGCGTAGGTGAGCCGTCCGAGGGTGACGATGATCATATGGTGGATGCCGTGGAACTGGGGGTAGCGCGCGTTCAGGATCTTCTGGCGGAGGCTCGAGGCCGAGTCCTCTGCGCTGCTCACGAGTATATACAGGAGTGAGACGGCACGGACGGTCTGCTCGATCGTCCTGAAGGGTACAGTTAATTACCTCGTGGTCATAATGGGCTGGAGGAGAGACGTACCATCTCGTCATGTCCGGAGAACGCAGGAGCGCCTCGTCCTCCTCGAACAAAGGAGTCGTAATGTTGGTAAGAAAGACAACGATGGAGAGGACAAGAGTCTGCGACTCCAGCAAGATTGCCAGCGCATCCCGGTGCGCGATGCCGACGCCGGCTATGAAGGCCAAGATGGTCTCCTTGAGCATATTCGCCTGCAGACACTGTCAGTGAAAGTCAAGTACGGGCAGCGAGTCCTGATGCACCTCATGTCCTTGCAAAGACGTGTTTCTCAGGTAGGAAGCCATCTGCTCGATATGAGGAATCTTGGAGTAGTCTTTCGTTGCAGGCTGTTGCCCTTCCGTAGGCTCAACAGCCGGGAAAGACAATAGATCTCTGAACAATGCGTGGTCTGCGAACTCCATGGTAAGGACATGGTTGACGAGCAGTCAGAGGAAGCTTTATCACGTACGCGAAGCGAGCAACGTCAGCATGCGCACCGAACGGTGCAATAACCACGTAGGGTGAGCGGGGTCTAGTAAGTTAGACAAGACGTGAAGGCCCCGCGGGATGACGGAGAACCTGCAAACTGTCAGTGTAGGAAAACACATCATCAGAACAAGACCTACTTCGATGCGAGGACATCAGGCGTAGTCCAAATGACGACGTCCAGAAGTCCCAGGGTTTCCCTGGCCAAAGCACTCAGTTCGTCGTCCCACGCCTCCTTCCGTGGAGTAAAGTGCCTCTCGATGATGCCACAGAGCGTTGTTAAGGTTGGCGAAGGCGCCTCTCGTATGAGGTTGCCCTGATGTTCGTGCGATGCAAGCACTAGGCGAGCAAACGATGGCAGTCTGTATGCTAGTGCTTGTAGTAGATTGAGGAGGCCTATCAGTGGAGCAAATGCGCCATGCTGCTGCAGAAGATCTGCCAATGAGATGAGGATATCCAAAATTATTCCAATCGGGCGGTCGACATCGTCTATCGGAATGACTGCAGGGCCCAAGCTTTCGAGCAATCGTTTGTTCAGATTACAATATAATCGCTGGTGCTCGAACGACGCCATTGATAAAGATGTACCGATAAGCTGCTGAACCGTCAACAATTCTGACGGGGGCATGCGATGCGTCAGAATAATCCGGAGGACCTAGAAGACAGTCAGCTTCTCTGAAAGGGGAGCTCGAACAGTGTCGTACTCACCTCTGCCCGCCAGTCTGGAAGGACAATCTCCTCGCCTTCGTCCTCAGGCGCGTCGGCCTTGTTAGTATCGGCCATGTTGACGTCTCCATCAGCATCGTGCATATCATCCACATTGCCGATGTCGTTCTCCTCGTCTTGAATAAACAATGCAGGTAAAGGTCCAACCGATGTTCCACCTCTTATCGGGCTGCTGAGAGGAGGACTGCTGGGAGGCGTTTGAGGACGTCTTGGGGGAGAAACGTGCCTTTGTGACCGGTGCTGAGAGGTGAAGAAGTTTCTCTCGATCGCTTCCTGGTCGGTCCTATGAGGATCCTCCGCGCGCTGCTTGCCTTTGCCCTTGATAGATTGAGATGGTGATCTTGTCGGTGACGCAGCCGGATCGAACGCATTGACGAAACCCGGCATGGAAACAAATTTCTTAGGCTTTTCCACTGACGCCCGAGCCTTTCGCGGCGAGTTACCGATGCGTATGGAGAAGAGGTCAGACCCGTTCATTACTTGCTGGCCGAGAAGGCTCGGCCCAGCCTTGTCCAACGTAGTGTTCCAATTTCGCATCTGCGACGGCATCCGTACGGGAGTCAATGGTACTTGTTTGCCAATCTTCTTACCCCGAATAGACCACGGAGAGTTGCGTATGGATGTTTCTAGCTCGTGTTGCTAAACATTGCGAAAGCTGTAGAGTCGATACCATTGCCACGGGAAAGAAGCTCACCTTGAATGTGAATTGAGTCTTCAGGCGGTCCATTTCTTCCTTCATCTCCTTCTGGATTTGTAGTTGCGTGGCTTCGGCTGCTTCCTTGGCAGCCTTTATTCTCGCAACTTCCGCTGCGTGCTGCTTCGTGGTCTACGAAATCGACCATCATGACAGCTAATGCGGAAGGCGACGTAGTGACATACCCTTTCGATGCTCTTCCGTAGGATACTCACCTCACCTTCTTTCGCAAGTCGTGCATCCTCCGCAGCCTTCAAGGATTGCTGCACGTGTTGCTGTTCCTGCCTCAGCTGTTATTGGTGTTAGCGAGAGGTTCCGATAGCCTATTGTGCTACAAACCTGATTCAACTGTGCACGAAGGGTCTCTAGCTCTCGCTGAAGACCCTCGTCTAGATGACCCGGGTCCTCCAACTGTCTACTCTGCACATCATGGTCATCATGATTCCTGTGTAAGGCATCCCCATTGGGAGTATGGATGGAAGGCTGTCGAGCAAAAGTTATACTGTTGCTATTTGTTCTATAGAGATTCCCTGCAGGTCGGTTGGTTGGTGCAATATGCTGCTGTTGACGACTGTTAAGGCGAGGCTATAGCAGCAGGTGGAAATGGTTCGAGTATAATACGTACTTCTCTGACCTTGATCGGTATTCATTGCTCGCCCCAGCATTCTCTCCAGACCCCACTACTTCCTTGCGCCGAGCTGTACCGTTAGGACGGCTGCCAGATGCACCCTGCGCCGAGTTCCCGAACTTGTATGAGCCATTTCTGGAAATGAGTATGTCTGGTTCATCCTCTTCATCGTTCAGATCTGCGGTACGCTTGGCCTTGGCGAAAACCGTCCTTGGATGAGCAATCTTTTGCCGTTTCGCAGGCGGCTGTATCGGAGGAGTTGGTTGACTATGGTCCATAATATTTGAAATTTGCGACTCTCTGTACTTCGCATCCTCATCGTCAAAAATTGCTATGGTACTGTCGTCGATGTCCTCGAAGAGATCGTCATCAGAGTCCTTGTTCATGGGTGCGAATGCATCAAAGAGGAAGAGAAACAAGTGTGGTAGACGCTGACGCCACAAACGCGTCCTCGTGTTAACGCGCTCGTGGCGTACGTTTCATGCGGAATATCGAATTCGGATAGAAGCCACAGAGTCCCTTTATATTTCACAGAAATCGATGAACAGTAATAATACAGGATAATGGTGGAAGTTGTCCGTGGAGAGTACAACGAAGGGTATGCTGATACTACATCCCGACAGGCAGGCGTACCGCGCCCACGTAACGTCGGACCGCGTAGTCAGGCTGCGCGGCACTGCAGCGACACCTAGAGCCTGACGCGGGACGAATATGAGCAGCCCAGCATGCTGATAGCAGTGTGCTATACAGTGCACCACACCAAGAAGGAGGCAACTCAGTCAGCAAGGAAGATATGATAGGACCTCCACTGGATGGCACATTCATGCAGCAGATTCTGAAGAATGCACGGAACACCCAAGGCAAGCGCGGGCATTTGCAATGCCAGCTTTATCACCATTTAGGTGGACTGATATGACAGCGTCATGCTGTCATCAGCCAACATATCGTATCTTGATTGCGCCATTGCGGTTGCGAGCTTCGAGGGCTGAGGACTCTGATAAATCAGTCGACTCACTACAGGATACCTTCGGTACGTACCCTTCAACTCTTCGGCTTCCTCGCGTTGCTCGTAATCAAGGACAAGCTTCTTCAATTGCTGCTGCTCGACCTTGTCCTGTAGTTGAGCAGTACGAGTTTGAACAGCCAAAGCAGACTCAGCAGGTATAGCAATCTGGCGAGTCTGGAAAAAATGTAAGTTTTCTGAGAGCGGTCGATGTCCGGCTGTACACACCTGAGGCTTATTACCTCGCTTCGTGAACAAGGTGAATGCCATGACGCCTGGTTCCTTCGCCGCAGAGCTGCCTTCAGTCTCATCTTCATTCTCGTTTCGTTTCTTACGCAAGACCGGAGGAGGGACAGTAGACTCCCAGAGCGCCAATGCAGTCTTCTTATCAACCTTCCTCGACTCCGCGGAAGTATCAGTGACCATCTTGGCAAACTCCTTAGCGAATTCTGCCTCATCCTCCTCGGACGGGCCAAAGCTCTCCTGAGCGGACTTCAGAATCACTGCTTCGGGCGATTGTGCGCGTTCATCCAGCTGACATACAACAACTCGTTTGTGTGCACCGTTGCATTCGTGTTTTATAAGACTTACCGGGGATTCAAGCTGAGATTGCTCTTCTTCGTCTTCGTCCTCCTTGTCATGTCGTTCCTCTTCGTCTCCGCTATCTTCGCCGCTTTCTTCCCCTTCACCAGTGGTAACTGGCAACTTCCATCAGTGGCTGTCTCAAGTCCAAGGCGGTAGAACTCACGGCCCGCATACTGAAAGGCAGTGGCAAACATATCATCCACCGCACTAGCAGCTTCCTCATATGTCTTGAACATGTTTAATTTGGGTCTAATAGCCTACGAAATTTGTTTAAAGAACGGCTGCAACGCTCATGAACAGTTGGTGGGCTTACCTCTATCGAGTCGGTCAGCATGAACTCAACATCCATGGGAAGAGGAGCCTTGGACAGGACATAGAGCTGTGACGATTGGTGGTCATCACGACAGTTAGCACGTTGAAAAAAATGTATTGCACACCTGGAAGAATGTGATGAAGTTGTCGAGCTTCTTCTGCTGCGTGCCACGATCGAAGCACATCCCGCAAGTATCCAGGATTACACAAACGAGGCGGATCCTGAAAAAGTCGTCTGGCATGTCAACTGGGCATGGCTGCGTTGGCATGGGACGTCCTTCGGCTGTGATGTACGCGTTAGCAGCATTTCCCAGTTTTAAAATGAATTTTGCTCACGATGACCAAAGGTAACCAAAGTCCACAGTGTATCGAAAATGATCCCAGAACCAACCAGCCGATATATGTACAGTTCTCCGAGATACTTCACTGTGGCCACGCGTCGCTGATTAATGCTGTAAACGTTCTGCTCCAACCCGCGCCTGACATCTTCAAGCACTTGATCAACCACCGCGATAGCGAATGCAGGATGATAGCGCTGCAGGTCGTATGTGAGCATCGCGAGGAGCGCGATGTTGCCGTATTTGACTTTCCACGGCTTCGTAAAAACCTTGTGCAAGGTGCCCACGACTACGGGGTCATTCCAGTCGAGCTTGCGGATCAACTTGAGCACCTTGTCGATGGTCTTCTTTGTGAGACCGTCGTAAATGAGGTGTCGGATGAATAGCTCCATGGGGGTGCGTTCCTTCGCCTGCCTCGCGGCACGCTCCGGAGGATTGACCTGGCATATACGGCTGCTAAGTGCAGCTCAAACGACATCGACGAGACGTTGCTCACCTGGTAATACGCGTTTTCCAGCAATAATTGTTGTCTCTGGTCGAAGTGCTGTAGACTCTGCTTGCGACGCATCAACTCCAACTATGAACCGCAACTGAAGTCAGACCAGTGCATATAAGCCGTTCTAATTCACTGACCATCTTGCTGAAAGGTTCTCTGGTCTCCTCATTCCTGAGCAGGTATCGGCCACAGCCTTCCAGGAGTAGAGCAAGGTTGTCCACATTCGTACCAGAGAAGTCATCCAGGCACACTTTATACATGTGCAAAATGAGATGGGGCGGTACTACTCCAAACTTCGTGAGGTTCGAGATGAACGTGATATTCTGATCGCAACCCGATCGCATCAAACATTTGTACGAGTATCTCAGATGAGTCCGCACTGACCTTGAGCCTGACTTCTGTCAGCTCTTTGACAACCTTCTTCTTACGTTGCAGATAACGGAACTCTTCGTCGAGCTATGTGCATCAGGTTACAATGTTGTATCTCCGAATAGCATGATCCTGGACTGACCATTGCTACAACCTCACTGCCGATGTCCGGCATATACTTGTTCAGTGTGGCTATGAGCCTTGAATAGTGTGGCAGCAAATCCGACCGGCTCTTCGGTATTTGGCTCATGAACTAAATCGAACAGATATCAGCACATCAATTACTCGCTCTTTCATTATGAATTCCCCCACTGACTTTGATGAGCCTCTTGCGAGCCGCCTTCGAGTTCAGAAAGGCGAAGTCGACAGCTGCTTGATCAATCAGTGTGCGATTTGTAGTGTCAGGCAATCGCGCGAGGAGAGCCGTAAGCAGCTGAGATGGGCCTTGTGGCGCAAGCTGTGGGGTAGACGGAGGCGATGTCTTGGGCGTGCCGGGAGTTGGTGTCGGAGCACTGTAGGCAAAACGTCAGCATGGCGCCGACAGCTTGAGATAACCAGCTTCAGACTCACTCGTCTTCGTCTTCGTCCTTCTGAGCTCCTTCCTCAATATTCGCCTCAGTGGCAGTGACATCTCCGTTCATTTCTCCCTCTTCGGCGACTTTCAGCCCGGCTAATTCCTCCTCGAGCTTCCGCACCTGCTCCTCCACCTTCTCCTTCTCCTCCTTCTCCTTGCTATCCCCTTCCGTGCCCTCGTCAGCCTCGCTCTCGACTCCAAGCACATTGCGAGGAACGTAGTTCTTCAGGTCCGGGATATCCTCAAAGAATCGCCGCTCTTCCTCATCCTCCCACTTCCCACCCGTCACAGTCTCTATCTCCATGCCTACCCCGCCGATACCGGTGTTTGTGCCGATGAGGATCGATTCGGACTTCTGAGCAGCGGTCTTGAGTGTAGGCATTGGAAGGTAGAGTAGCTCGGACAGGCTACGCGTGTGTCAGATTTTCCGCAATGGCAGATCAGAGTTGACCTGCGAGCTCACATCTGACAGTTCTGAAGCAGCTTCTCGTAATTCCTGGTCATCTTCTCGTATGCCTGCTGCCTATCCTCGAAGATCTCTCCAGAGCGGATGTATGCTTCATGATTCCGCCTGTCCTGCTCTTGCAGGCGCTACATAGCAGGTGTATATGCATGAAAAGACCAATCGCACAGATATCCCGACTTGAATACTCACGTCATGCTCGTGCACTAATTTCTTCGAGACGCTTTCGAAATATCCCTCGCACATCTTCTTGAATCTGTCCCTGATTTCCTTTTCAACTAGCTCCTCCTCTTCGTTCATCAGTAGTGGAAATGCTCCATTTGCTTGCTCATTGGCTTCATTCGTGGTCACAGAAGAAAGGGTGCCAGGCTCAGCAGAGGACGAAATCTGCTTTGTCGAAGGAGGCGGGACGATGCCGAGATACGGGCGAGCGAATGACTTTAGGAATGTACACAGCAGCGGTAGCGACGAGAGCGTGGGATCATTGGATAACTGACCAGGAGATTGTGCATATGAGCTAACGTGCCACAACATGAACACGATCGTCACTCACAAGATCCTTCATGACTTTCATCATCCATTCCCCGCCACTTTTTCCCGGGCCATCTTGAATAATCCCAACTAGCGCCAACTCAGCGCAAACACGTAGGACTGGACGTTGTCTGGACACTCGCGTTACATCCTCCTTCTCGCGCTGCTCCGGGGTGAGGGCTGCCAAAGCCGCACGGGAGGGTGGCGCTAACGCTGCAGACAGCGAGGATATAAGGCTCGGTGTGAAGGACTTAGGGAATCTGCGATGAAGCAGTGAGATAATCTGATAAACACGATATATGCGTCAGTTCTCGTAATGCCCGGGCCAGGTAAATATTTACCTCCGCGGCACTCCAGACATCCTTCTCGGTCTTGCAACGTGCGATTCCTTCAGGAACGGCACCTGCCAGTTCATCCACGTACTTCTCTAGCGAAAGTGTTTCTATATCCTTGACGATTTGGTCGCGATTCTCGATACTCAGCGATTGGCGGATACGTTTGATCAAGGCAGTGTGCCTCTTCAGCGAAGAATCCAATGCCTTCGTCGGCTCTGTATAGCACATCGTACTAGAGTGTTAGTAGCTCACAATATATCACGATATCGCGCACCATTCCCTGCCTGCTTCACGTTCAGCTCTTTCAGAGCCGCTCTTCTCTGGCGTCGCGCCTGTTCATCGTCCACCTTAGGTGGCGCGTTCCCATTTGGGCCTGTTTCCATCGTGCTTCGCGACTGTTAGCACTGAGACTGGAATGAGCCTCCCGAGTGGTTGTGTAGCACGAGAAGATAAAGGATGGAAGTAACAGGTTGAGAGTCAGGATTGAGTTCAGCGTTCGCACCGCCCCCGCCACGGCCACCGAGTAACACGCTCGGATCACAGATGTCCACTCAGCCACAGTTACGATTTGATTCCGTCCTCGATGATCCTAACAGGATGTCCCCGACTTCATACCACTTGCTTGACACATCATGATCAATTACTAGTCGCACGCCGAGGCATATTCGCCCTCAAACGTTGCTGGAATATACAGAGTCTGATTGCACCGTGCTGAATCTCGCCCTGCTCGCTAGGCGTGGTTATAAAACTCAGCCATTGGAATTGAAATCCGAATGCAAAGTTTAGGTCGCATATCACAAACACTGGAGTTATAACAGTATCCTTGGCTTTGAGGCTACTGATGTTACATAACTGCTCTGAAAGCTACAGGATTGGTAAGCTATCGACCAACGATTGACGATCCTCATCGAGCTTTCGTTGACTTCGAAGTCTATTGTTCAACTTCGTTGGTCGACGTGTACCTAGTAGGCTCTTTCTACTGGACGAAACCGTCGGCTGAAAGGCTTACCTCCCGATGGTTACTAGTGATAACTCCCGCGATGGTACTTCGAGAAGCGTGGAGCACTCGACAGTAATGTTTCTCAACAACTCTGAAGTAGGAATCTATGTGAATATGAACTTCTCATGCCGTTGGTCCATGGAAACCTTGATGCTGGAATAGGTCTGTCGCATATACTGCACGCCTGATGACTTTATGATTAAAGCAATACAGCCTGCATCCACAGGCGCCGAGTAGGTGTGCATGATGCGAGTTCTAGTCCACCTTGCTCTGGTGGATCCTGCGAGGGCACTGTTTAATAGGCACATCTGCCCGTGACACAGATCTCCGCTTCACTGAGATGCCTCTTGAGGAGTAGCTCATGCTTCTTCAAAAGTCGTGGCGAGCATGTGTATGATCAGCCAAACACGTTGAATCGAAACCACCTTCGCGGTGTCACTCTCGCTTCGCTTAAGAGACCGTCCGCAAAATTTCGCACTGCCGCACACGGATGGCCGGCCTGCAGCCGCCCTCATGCCCCTGACAAGCATCCTCCCCACGAAGGCGCTTTTCAGCATGAGCCCCACTACTTATCAGAACAGCTCCGCGATGGAGACTGATCAAGCAAACTCTTTACGCGCTCGAGTCCGCACTAGCTCACCAACACACGCACAGCCAATCGAGGCCTCCGCCTCCGATAGATCCGACTTGCTGCACCAGCTGCGCAAGGCGACGCCCCAGCCCGCGTCACTCGACGAGTTCATGCGTGAACCGGCCGTACTCACGACTCTTCTCGGTCATAAGAAGAAGCCTCGGCGAGGCTCGACCAGCTCGCAACGTACACTTGACAGCGTTCAGGAGCGGGATCCACATAAGAAGGACCTGCCGAAGGCGAAGGATTCTTCGGATACTACGAATCTAGTTACGCTCGTAGTCACAGAAGAGCATCAGGCTCAACACCTCAAGGCTGTCCTTCGACTCACTGGAGAACGACTTGATTACGAGATGCGGCGAGCGGACCAAGCAGAGCAACGTGCTCGCACGGCGGAAAGCCATGCGCGCGACGTTTCGACTCATGTGGCGACCGCAGAGAACGAACGGTACCAAGCAAAGCTGGGTGCCACACGATCGCAGGAAGAGGTCAAGCAATATCAGCTACTCGCAGAGAAGGCTGAGCGAGAGCTCCGGAGAGTCGAGGCGGAATTGCAGAGGTCCGAGAGGCTGAGGAAAGAAGCAGAGCAAAGTGCAGCAGATGCCAGGGATGTCGCTCGGAAGGCACAGCAAGCCTTGAGAGAGCATCAGGCCGGAGAAGAAGGAAGGGGAGAGGGTCGCACGTTGGAAGTTAAAGTCAGCCGAGAATGCGATGACGGCAGAGTGGATGGGCTTGAGGACGGACGTGCGCAGGGTTTTGAAGCAGGCTACGCTGAAGGCTTTGAGGCTGGCCGAGCTGAAGGCTATGCGGCGGGTCGAGAGGATGGCTGTGATGCTGGACGGTTGATAGGATTCGAAGACGGCAAGAAGGTGGGCTTTTCGGAGGGTTACGAGGATGGCATGCAAGATGGTCGCAGGAACGAGCGAGAACGCTCTCTTAAGGCCTTCGATAAATTCACGGATTCGAAGGAGGGTCGGGAGGTCTCATCGACCGTTGCCACGGTAAGTATGTCATTGGAAAACTTCATGTCGGCATCAAGTGATCTGAAGTGGCACCGTATTAGGTTAATAGCCAAACAGAAAGACCTGCGGAGAACATAAAGCAGGCTACGAAGCAGGCCGGTGATGCAAAACCGCTTCCTGTACCTGGACGTGCTCGATCTCCGCGCAAAGACAAGACTCCACCTCCAAGATCGACTCCGTCCCCAGAACGTGCGGTGGTCCCTCCACCACCGCCAGCTAAGACTCCATCTCCACCTCCCATTCCAGTATGGCTGCACCGTAAGCCAAACTTCGCGCAGAGCGCAGGCACCAACGCTGCACAGGATGTGGGTGCCGCCTTTCATCCTTCCTCGGCACCTCGTCACGGTGTTACTGCTTGAAGCTTGAAGCTCGGCGGTCAGCCGTGTTCCGCTACCGAACTAGCGATAACGCTATCAATGACAATATTGACTCTGCTTGTATAAGTGGACGATATAGGCTTATCTATCATAGGACGTACTGTACTTACTATCGTGACACTGCATGTTTCAAGTACTCCAATAATAGCCTTCAAATCACGGTCCCCGGCTGGATTGTGGAGAGACTGTCGAAGTGCCCCAGGAAGGAGCTTGTCATCACAAGGAAGGTTGCATAGTCAACTAACGTTCTCGTCCTCCTGTGCTGCGAAACGGGGATGAAGAGGTCCTTAGCCTTGATGCTTCTGGTGTCTATGATGAAGGCTCATTGCCCTGATCCACTAGTTTTGACGAGCATGCAGGTTTGACGATCGCGAGTCGAAGATGAGGCTATAACTTGGTGGGATGCAATTGTACCAATATAGCGTGCAGCCGATGACCCATCTTGCATCTGCCAGATCGAAATGCGCAGATGTCGGACAGTGTTGTGATGCCGACTCGGAACAGTAATCATAGAGGTTGAAACGTTGAACGTTGATGCATGATGGTGAAAGGAAATGATGGTTCCACTTCCAGCGTCCATCTGCCGCCGCCGGTCCTTATAAGATGTAATCGCACCTACCTCAGACCCATCAATCTCCACTGCCCACCTCGTTCATTGCACTGGCAAGTTCATCCAAGTCGCGTACAGAAACCTTGCGGAATATGAGTGGCAGCAGCAGTGCAGCATCTCCGTTGTCACCCAGCGTCGGTGCGCGTCGCAAAGGCCCGAAGACTCTTCCCCGCCTTCCGTTATCTGCTTTCACCCCTCCGAGCTCTGGAACGGGAGATACTTTCGCTGTCGCACCCAGCCCTAGCGTGTTGCAGCCTCGGGAGGTCGTTGATGCCTATGTGATCGCAGCCGGTGGCGATCTGACGCGATGGAAGGAAGAGGTAGCAGGGAGGACGCTCGGCAGCAGGGCAAAAGCTGCTGTGCTTTCCCTGTACGGCGAAGAGCCCGCCCAATTGGAGAAGATAATTCAAGGGTATGTTTGTCATCTGCACTGGCCACTAGTTCATCTCTGATCTCGCATTCAGATTACATTCACAGGAAGCATCCGTTCTGGCTGTCCTTGTTCCCATCATTTTCGATGATGGTGACGCCTCCTTTATACCGCCATCGTATCTCTCATCGGCGAAAGATTCGAAGCCCACTCTCGTGCCGTCCGTAATCTTCACCAAGAACGATCGGAAAACGCGAGATGCCCTTCAATGGGCACTTGATGAAGGCTTCACCGTCAACATCGACGTGCAATGTGATATCTCGGAGGATACAAATGGGTGGGATGCCCTAGAAGAGATGCTCACGAGTATATCCAATCCCCATACCCCGCGGGAGAACGGCAAGATTATCATCTGTACGTCCATCTAGCGGTATTACAAGTCACAGTGGCTGATAATGCGCCTTGCAGCGAATATTCTCCCACCAACGGATGACCTCTCATTGCCAATCGTCAAGTTGCTGACCCACTCCTCGTACCAGAACTACCAGTCTAATGTCGCGACGCTCTCGCTGTTCGCAAAGGTCTTCGTGAACTATCTTCCGCCAGCGTGGGGCACACCGATACCATCGTCATCAGGGGATCCACACAAGGAGCGCTCAGAGTGGAAGCGTAGGATCAAGATGTACAGTGCGTGATTGACTCGTTGCTTGCCCGTCGATGTAACTGATTACTTTATTCCGGAGCAGTCAGTCCCGCGGTGGAGGCGTTCGGGTTCCAGCGCATCCTGTTTGGTTCCTCCCCATCCCGCGCATCGGAGGTGTCGTCCAACGCCAGCGATTGGTACGAGCTTGCACGCGAGTCCTTCGCGGAGCTAGGTGTCGAACAAGAAGCCGTCGATGCTGTGTTCTGTACCAATGCTAAAGCAGTTTATGGGTCGTAGCGTCGTTATCCTGTAGTCTCGTCGAGCTAAAAGGGCAGGCGAGATTACGTTTTAGACTACAATCTCGCTGTATCTTCAGTACGTCCTGATCCTTTTCGTGCCTTGTTGTGATATTCTCACTATTCAAGTGGTGATTTTCTGAGCTCGAATATATAATCAGCATGCTCTACATACGTGGTTCAATACCCGGGTCGATTCTCGTTTCATCAGAGTACTCCCTTACTAGGCATTGGTATGGAGGAACACGGAAAATTGAGCTAACATGGCTCCGTGAAATCTGGACTCAATAACGCTTGGATATCTGTAACAAGATAAATATACTCTTGCGTAATCCCACGCATTACAGCAACGGTGACATGATTCGCCAACCCTTCAACGTCAACCATCGTAGCCGCGACGGGGAAATTTGTGTGATTGTTTTGCTACCCTAGGAATCACAGTTTCGCTTGTCATTCTTCTGAGCATTCAATATAGATGGCGGGGATCTAAATGTATGGTGAGATTCTTCTTCTAACAGTGCGAATGCTGTAAGGCTAACGTCACTTTGAAGACGTCAGCGAGTCAGCTGAGTAACGTTATTAGCAACTGTCTTTCCCGGGGCAAACTCAAGTCCGACACCACCTGCAAATTCATAGGCTAGCAATAGTTGCATCAGTAACTTGTCAGGCCTTTCATAATCCAGAACCCTCAAATGCCAAGGCATCAGCCACGACCTCAACCGCGACATGGCGTGCTCTCATGCCGTTTCAATGCACCGTCATCGTGAATCCTTATTGACCATGATTGGAAGGTTAATTCAGGAAACTCGAAGTCGCTAACTTTAGTACGGCATCATGCGCACGGGTTTCAACAGATTGTTATCTAGAAGGAAGCATTATACAACCTGGGTCGATGCAATGGAACCGAACCGACTACATACTGCGTCTTCCGGGATGCATTGCTGTGAGTGCCCCTCTCACCATGGGTTCGGGACTGGCTCGTTCCCTGTCCAACCCTTTGTAGCAGACTATTCGATCAGGACTGCTACCTTGCTCATCTATTAGTAATCGGAAACGCTCTGCGATCAAAATGCGAGACGATATAACGTTTTACGTATCGCTGGGCTCAGGATTCTGGTAGAAACTGCGGCAAACCAAGGCCTAACCACTGGGAGGTGTTTGTCCCACATTGAACCCGTGCGTCATGCAGAAATTGCGCCGAAACATGCCATTTTGTCACTGGGGTACGATCCGGCGTGCCACGCACGAACTTGAACTTGAGCTGGAATGTACATCTCGCACATCTCGTTTCCGCTTCCACCTATATATGAACTTGGAGGAAGTACAGCCATCACGGCCTGTTGTGTGCGGATCGAACCATTCTTTCTCGTCTCTTGGGTGCGCATGGGCTCGCCACAAATGGCGTCCGTTTATGCCGTCAACCAATCGGACTTCGCACTGCGTACGGGTTACTAATGATGGACTCGAGCTTTACTGACAGAGCTCGCTGCAATCACGGAATCCGATGTGGGGTGCAAGTGATCACGTCATAAACCGACTCCTATCTGTTCACATAAAAGAGGCCACTGCGTCCTACTACTTCACCATTCGACGCAGATTCTTCTTGGATAGCAGATACAATCATGACCGCCCAATTAACTATCAATTCAGTTGTGCGTCTTTCCTCAGGTACGTGAACAATTCTGCATTTCGATCCAATATCTCGCCGCTGGTACTCCACGATTGCCTCTCGTTATAATGGCGGAGAAAGCTTCCTAGCGCTTTCCTCCGCTATTTATTGAAGTCATCAGTATTCTTCTGTTATAGGCTAAGCACATAGATCTCACGTTATGATGCATCATTCCGTAACATGACCAGAAATTAACATGAGATCCCAGGTTACACCATGCCCGTGCTAGGCTTTGGCGTCGCATATGGTTTCGACAAGCCAATCGACACTCGTTTGGTGACCACGCCAGCGGTTCTCGAGGCCTTCAAGGCCGGTTACCGGTATGCACTTCACCTCTCGGAATCGCTTGACCTGACCCAGTATGATCCATGACTGCCCTCAGTCACATCGACACGGCACGTATGTACAACAACGAAGAGAAAGTTGGTGAAGCAGTCCGTGAGAGTGGACTGAAGAGAGAAGAGCTCTTCCTCAGTATGTCTGACGTCTCCGCACGATTACCACGTTCTGTCTCACTTCGTGGTCGATGCTATAGCCACAAAGATTGATAGCGCCGTACATGGTTATGAAAGCGCAATTAGAAGTATAAATGCGTCGCTGAAAGGTCTCGGCCTTGGTCAGCTGGTCCTCTAACTGACGAAAGACCTGCTTGATGCTACCGCCTCTCCAGACTATGTGGACCTCTTTCTCATCCACGACGCGAACTCTGGCAAACAACGACGCCTGGAGACCTACAAAGCCTTGCTCGAGGCAAAAGCGGACGGCAAGATCCACAGCGTGGGTGTCTCCAACTAGTGAGTATAAGCCGCATCACCAATCGACTACATGGCACCAATATCTGACTCACCGCCAACAGCGGAGTCAAGCATCTAGAAGAGATCGCCGCAGCTGGCTATGAGCCCCCTTCCGTTAATCAGGTCGAGGTACGACTGTTCCACTGTGAAGCCGACTATCGAAGTTTACATACCGGCATTCGCCAATCTTCAGCTGCATCCCTTCTGCCAGCAGAAGCCGATTGTCGCATACTGCCAGGCCAACAATATCGTCGTTCAAGCATATTGCCCCATCGTTCGCGGTAAGATGGATGACCCCGTCATCCAGGACATCGCACAGAAAGTCTGTAACAGCTTTCTTGTCGATGATCTCTTCGAACTCACGAGGTTGCCTGTTATTAGTACAACAGGGATCGAGCACAGATACTCATACGATGGTCGCTGCAGCATGGGTGCGTCGATCAATCCGAAAATTGAGATCTGGGCGTAATCTCGGTCACAGATTCGTTCCGCTGCCCAAGTCCTCGCAGCCTGAGCGCATAAAGTCCAATGCCCAAGTCTTTGACTTTGCTCTTGCAGACGAGGATATGGCCCGGCTTGATGCACTTGACCGCGGCAAGGCTGGCGCGATTAGCTGGAATCCAGTCAATGTAGATTGATGGCATGGAGGCAACAAGATTGTTGTAATAGAATGACACCCAAAGATGCATGATTCCCTTTCGCATCGCACGTCCCAATTTTACATGCTTTTCGCCGCTCGGGCCACTTTGCGTAGATATCGCTTTCGGATATCGCGGTGGAGATTATGTGTATACCCGATGAAGAGCTGTTTCCAGCCAATCAAGTTCTGCATGGACCCATGAATTCCTTCAGATTCTAGTGTCGGGATCGCAAAGAAGTATGTTTCCTCACCATCAAGTAGTCCAACAACGCATGACTCCAGTAAGGCGTGCTGACGTTCGGACGCCCAGTCCAGAGTGCACCACATGCGAGACCAATCTGTATGAACACAAGTCAGTATGTGTGTGAATAGTCAGCCGCTGCGACGACCTTCTGCAAAGCAGACCGAACATAGTCCTTCGGAAGGGGTGTAGTCATATTGGGCTTTCGTATCTTTGACATGTTCGACACCTGTAACACAACAGTGAGATCTCTGATAGCGAACTAGAGGAAATTGCACGTACCACAAAGTAGGTGTTTAGGCATTGTACGTCAATGCCCTGGTTCTTGACTTCAGCAGCAAGGGATGCGGTGAATGTGGATAAGAAGGCCTTGCTAGCAGCATAGGTAGCGAGCATCGGCGAGGGGATGCCAGTGCCCGAGAACGAACCCATGTTGAGGATAAGGCCGCGTTTCCTGGAGAAGGTGAGCATTCGTCAGCGATCCAGCAGCGACTGTAGGATAACACCTCACAAACGCACCTTTCCACCATACCAGGGAGCACCATCCTCGTTACACGCATTGTCGCATTGATGTTGATGTTTAGTATTCCCTCAATTTCCTCCGTGTCTGCTTCAGCGAAGTAGATAGGTGCCTTGTGCGATCTGCCAACATTGTTTACTGCGTGGTGTGAATAGTAAGTAACACCGCCAGCCGCATCAAATAGAGCGTTTTGGATGCACCGAGAACACCAACATCCAAACCCTTCACTTCATTTTCGAAGCGTGTCCATTGTGCCTGGTCAGAGAGCTGCGAGAAGTCCATGATGACCGACTTTGCCTTCACTTTCCTGTCTCCCGAACCGGCCTGCTCTGCAGTTAAATCCGTCATCTGTGGAAGCCATGTTGTTGACAATCAGAGGACTAACCTATCTCAGCAACCAGCGCAGCTAGGGCACCTGCATTTCGCGCGGAAACAAAGACATTGAAACCCTTCTTAGCCAATTGCAACGCAAACTCCCTCCCTATGCCTTCTGACGCGCCGGTCACCACTGCATGATGCTATGTGGTGAGCATATGCGAAGTGGATAGTAGTTCGGAATGCACACCTGCCCAAGCGCCCTTGCCAGCTCCATACTTCCTCAGCTGCCATACCGGAGACCAAGTATCGTCAATGCTTGCTCGACCATGAGCGCCAAGGGGATGATGCTCACATCATTGCCGGATAGCACAAAGGTCTGAAGCAGCACACCGAGAGATTTTATAGCAAACTTAGCGAATGAGATAGCTCCGAGAGCAAGCAGAGCCTTGACGACGTATGGATGGTCCACGGCTTCACAGTTAATGTCCCTTCAGCTGTCGTCCGTGTCGTACGAGACGATCGCAGCTCACCCATTGTACTCATCGCGGCCTCAGAATGAGAATTGCGGAAATGTCAAACTATCGAGTGACAGAGACGACGTAAAGTACAGTTTGGACAGAGAGAGATGGAAGTTCGACAAACGCGCACTGCGCGGAAATGTGTCTACGCTAGTAGTAGGTGAGCGACCATGTGACGCGACGCGTCGACGCGTCGCACTAGTGTGGTCCGAGCTTGGTCTATCATTGAGTCTTGACCCGAACCTCGAGGCCTCGTGCCTCTTGCAATGAAACATCAATTACATCTTCAGACATTAAGCCTTGTCATCCAGAAACTGTCATGGACCATAGACGCCTTCTCTTACTGCAAAAGGTCCGGATGCTCAAGAGTCCAACGGCTATGTGTCTCTCGAAGCAGTTTCAGGAACTTCTCAACTTGCATCTTTGTAGCAATCGGATGTCGCTCCTCCATCATCGCGATGACGTTGGCATCCTCACAACACTTTCCACCAGGCCCGTACAGCGCAGTCAGAGTCAGCATCTCCATGCCCTCCTCTCCCCATTTGTCAGGCAGATTGAATGCACGCATGACGTGAGACTGTGGAGAAGTCGGCTTACGCAAATGCAAATGACAGGGATTTGATATGTCTGACCTTCGTAATCTGCACGCCGGGCGCACCCTTCAGATCAGCAGGCGTGTACTTAGACACGTACTTGTCAAACATGCTCTTCACGTATTCATATTGCTGCATTTGCTGCGACATCGTCAGATTGTGTTGCCTACCGATGCGGAACTTCTCCCACGCTGGGTCTTCCAATATCAGGGACCGCAAATGCATGCTCACTGCATTGTCCTGCTCAGAAGCAGGGCTAATCGGGTTGAGACCGGCAGAGGGAAGAGTCGAAGTCTTGGGGAAAGGGTCCCCAGACATTCTAGTTTGTGTGTTGGACACACCGAGCGAGGTGGCAAATCGCGCGAACGAAGACCGTAGGAACGGATTAGCCGGAGCAGGCGGTGGGGTAGCCAAAGCAGGAGGTTGTGCGGCCAGAGCAGCGGCAGGAGCAGCTTGGAGTTCTTCTTGGACTGCCCGCGAGTGGCTCATGGGGAAGCTGACGTTCTGAGCAGGCGAAACATCTCGCGACCCATCCAGACGTCTGACTTTGTTGGGAGGCAAGGAATCAGACTCAGAGGAGCTAGAGCTTCTAGAGCTCTCATACAGCTCCTCCTCAGATGGAGATGATTGCGAAGATGAAGGGGTGGGGAGGAATTGGGAGTTTTCATGAGATGCACCAGCTTGGGGAGGCGACGGAGAGGGCACATGTGCATTGTGAGAATCTTGAGACGCGGCTGATGTCTGAGTGGTAGACGGTGTGAGCATCATGGGCTGCTCTTGAGGAATTGGTGAAGGCCGATGAGGGCCTGAAGGGCTAGCACGATGAGAGGAGTGCCGCAGATCAGGCGCATCGGAGTGCGTGCTGGTAGAACGTCGTCTCTTTCTTGATGAGGAAGGTTGCGATACGCTTTCAAGGTCATCCTCGTCAAGGATCATCACCTCGGAAGTCGGAGACAGCATAGACTCCGTCACAGGTGTGAGCATCTCGCGTTCGTAATGCGGCGGTGATCCGGCAAGTTCGGCCATATGAGCCGCTACACACTCATTGTCGCAATCGTGAGGTGCCTAGGTTAAAAAAAATGAGCGTTCAGTTGATTATTTCCACCAACAGTGGGAGACATACATCCTCAACATAGATGTCTAACGTTCTTTGCTTTGTGATTAACAGATTCGCGGTGTGACATTTGATCGCTCCCCCGCATGTGACCCTCATGATGTATTGTCGGTATTTCCCTCGCATACAATACAATTTAGCTCTCCCTGGAAACTTCCATCAGTACTCGTTCCTTCATGACGCCTAGCACGCACCATCTATCCTGGATGGGCCCCTCTGTAATTCATGAGAAACCTCCTCAGCATCTGCCCAATATCCAACGGCCGGTTCATCGTCCATTCGAAGAGGTACATAGACTTCTACTAGTATCTCCATGGGCTCATCGCCACGCCGATCGTGGATAAGAAGAGTGACCATGCGCACCACGCGTCGAGTTGTCTTGAAAGCTGGGCTTCGCTGCAAGGAAGAAGCAATAGCATTGGTTCCGCCTGGTGTGGACGGGCCTGGAACCTGACCTACCGATAATGCGTGTGATGATGAATCTGCATGTCTTCGTGATCTACGGTGGCGCTCTGACGCAGTGTGCTTGTCAGTCCTCCTAGGTGGTTGCGAGGACTGAAGGTATGTCATGGATGCTGAGCTAGAGGAAGTAGGATGATGTGACGTTGTATAAAACTCAATAGTCCCGTCTGGAGTGATGTTGTCAGGTGCTACGACATTCATGAATCGAGGGTTAGAGGAATAATCAAATGCCGGTGGAAAGGCGTTTGCAGCATAATGGCCAGAGTTGGACGAGGAAGTACCAGCAGAAGGCTCCGCTTGTTTGCGCTGAGAAGGTGCTTTATCACGTTGCTTGTCGTGATGGTTACGATAGTACGATCGACTCGGTTGTTTTTCAGCTGAGCATCCACCATGTTAGTAGCATGCATTGAGTGGAGAAACTACAAGATGCACTTACTGGCGGCACTGCGGTGCACTGAAGACGTTGGCGGGGGCGTTGTTTGAGGTGTGCCGTACGACGATTCGTATATGGCCAATTCGGGAGTTTGAGCCTGATCGGGTCGGAACGTCGCCACGAACGGACCCTCTGTAGGCAGTGCAGAACCAAATAGAGCAGACTCATTTACATATTTTCTCGCTCGCATTATGGTTCTTGTCATTGTTTCTGCTGGATGGACTTCTACAGAATGCTGCAATGGCCCAGTATGCCTCTTGTGATGCTTGCGGGATGTAGTTGATTTCCCCATATCCTTGGAAGACTTCCTCTTTCCTTGCGCAGGCTGGTGCCTGGCTGCTGTCGCCTGTCCGGTCCCATTCGCTGCACGAGATATCACAGGATGTGTCTCATGCGTTGCGCCAGCTCCCATGGGGTTGTTCGCATTCCATGAAAATGCGATTGGCTGCCGGAAAAGGGGTGCCTCAGAAGGAGCGCCGTGGGAAGAGGAGTCTTGCGCGGGCGATGTTGCGAAATTTGGAGCAACTGAGTTTGATGCCCCATCATCAGATTCAGGGGAGAGGAGACGAAAGGGCCTCTGTGTATACACATCCTTGGTAAGCTATAGCTGAGGTTGCCGCAAGAAACGTACGTACCGGGGAAGGTTCTCTATCAAGGCATCAGAATGAAGACAAGGGTATGAGCCGAAAATAGTAATAAATACAGCTTGAAAGGCCAGGAGAAATATACTAGAATGCGGAACCTTGCACAGACGTAGCAGAGCTCGTACATGTGCTACTATGCTCGACAACAAGTCACAAGCTGCGTGCTACCTGTAGACAGAAGGCCAGCATGATTGCCAGCATGGCTTCGCCGATTACTTGCCGACCCTCCACATTACATTCGACCCTGTCAGGCGATCCATGCGTCATAGAGCTGACATGAGAGAGCGTCTGTGGAATGCTGCGACTATCGCCCACGATAGATAGCCGAAGCACAGCATTCTGTCGAAGAAACAATACAAAAGCTGAGGAACTCACGAAGAATCACTCCGCATTCTCAGCTCGGAAGATATACAGATGTTGGATCACCGGTTCTAGACCACGATGTAACTGAGTTTATCTGTCGTAGATCCAGCGACTATTAAGCAGCGGGATTCGTGTGACTCGTATGAGATTCTCAGCACTACAAAGCGAGATGCTCCGAACCAGACAATATCATTCAGCAAAGCCGTGGAGAATCAAGAAGCCCAGAATTGGCTATTCCTAGCAGCAGAATTGCCAATAGCTTGACTTAAAAAATGCCAGTGTGAAGTCGAAGTTTCAGATCGAGTACAAAGGACGAACGAGAAGAACAAAGGCGTTGTTTCAACATTCAAAACACGGTCACGTGGGTGGCAATACAAAGACAGCCACAATGCATCAGGCCACGAATGGGCCGCTCACCTGCTGTACTGCTGAGTACTGAAGACTGATAGCTTTATGGGATTTTGCGGGAAGTATCTATCTTATTTCGGGGCGCGATCATGATCGATAAGTCATAAATTTCTGCATGCGTTCTCAGAAGATTCGTGGGCCGACTCGAAATGAACCCTATGAACAAACAATTTAATGTTGAAACGCTATGAAACCATTAGAATCTCTGACACCGAGTAGAAGTTGGAACTTCTCGTAAATGACGAACATGCGTATAGTGTACTCCACCTGCAAGGATGCATTTCAGTATGATCGTGCGGCAAGATCAAATGATCATAAAGCAATACATATGTACGCGAGCCGAGCATACACAAAAGCCCTTGTATAATGCCAATAGCCTTCGTGTGTCAATACGCCCCTAAAGCAATCTGAAATGCCGAAAACTCACGCGCCTTGTCATTCATGAGGCGCTGCTTCGCGACGTCTAATGCAGCACGGGTCACGAAAGGAGAGTTGCATGGATCTCGCTACAGTGCACATACCAGCAGGATTAGATGTGATAGGACAGAATAAACTGAGACGTGACTACTAGTTGGGCTGCACGATGGGGTCGGATACGGTGGTCATTCCTTCATTGGCTAACGTGCGATTTTGGAGTCCGATACAGAAAGGAGGTGCTTGTCATCGTGCGCCAGCGATCTTTGACATATACTAGATTGGATAAAACACCATTCTCTGTCAGTAAATAGTGCTTCATGACTCAAAGTATGCCATACACTGCAACAATCTTGCTTAGTGAATGGTGTGTGGATAGGATATAGTGTTTGTTATGGTGCGAATGTGAACTGCCACGGTCCTAGTGTGCTAACACTCGTCTTTGCTTGTGCAGCAATCAGTGGTGGGGGCACACAATGATATAGGGAGGGCAGATAGGTAGTACAGACAGTAACGCACTGTACATGGTAGTGCTTGAATTATTGATGGGCATGTAACAGCACTAGGCAGCCATTAAACAGGGTGACCATGCATGCCTAGGACTGCTAGAACAATAATATCAGAAATGGAGATAAAGAGGCATGAGCAAGGAGCACTCACTGAATCATTGTGATTAGAAGAATCGGCCTACTGCCATGGCCCTCTCCTGAGGTGCAGTACCCGGCAGATATGGCCAGTACTTGGTCAGCGCCACTCTGGCCTCATTTGCAGCGCTCGTTGAGATAATGCTCGCATTGGCAAGGTCGAGCGCGAGTGTATGCAACCAGTATCCACATCCCTCTCCGATGGGTGCGAAAATATAGTTGTCCCTTTTATGCTTGATAATCACAGTGAGAATGTTCTCCACAGTGATTCCACAGGCAGCCTCCGTTGACACCTTGTAGATGTGATCGTCTGTAAATTTGCAGGTTTCGTCTTCGCGAACGACCATACCAGGTCTCCCAACTTCACCAGGGACAACTCGACGTGAATAGAGGCTGTGGAACTTGTTTGGAGGAAAAGGGTCCAGTGATTGGTCGGTGGCTGTCCATCGCAACTCGGATCATTGTGTAAGTTCTGGTGGGCGATGAAATGTATGTAGAAGACCGGGGGATGTAAGTGATAATGAATCAAAACACATTGCACCCCAGTTGCCATCAACGTTTGTGATGTGTGAGGAGATAGACTTGTCAGAGGCCATGACTTTAAATGCCAGCCGCGTGCACTTGCAAGTTGTCTGAGACGAGGCATACCCCGGCAGACGCCGAAATCCAGCCCTGTTTTACGAGGCATGTGAGCATGCTGCTCATAGGCATGCCTATAGAGAGACCACCTCAACTGCTCGAGGAGCTTGATTCTTGATCACTTTTGCCCATCCACTCGGGTGTTTCAAGATGAACATCATCCTGGTGCGTGCGCGTCTCACATTAAACAAAAGCATCGCCTTTTGGGCGCTCTCGGAGACTAGAACATCTTTTGGATCAGACCCTAGGATAGGAAGCACAGACTCCAGTGTCATGAGGTGTTTCGAGGGATGGCATACTTTAAGATATCTTTTTTCCACAGCGGGTGCGATTCCATTACTCCGACGAATCCTGCTTGGCCCATGTGTGATCTTTGGGAGGAGACATGGTGTCTTGAATCTAGCTCACGGGTTTCACGCAGGATGGTGCTCTCTGCGAACGTAAGGCACTCTAAACGGTTTTATCATGATTCCTATCGGACCCTGGAACATGACTCCATGCGCCGCAGCTCTTCCGAGAGGCGAGGACATTTGGCAAGCGTCGACCGGCGGAATGGATGCTACTGTTTTCTCGTCATGATGTCTCGAAGCATCAAATTCCCGTTGGTTCCTCGGGTATCACGTCTCATGATTGGTAAGGGCTTCGCAGTTCAGTGCTCCGTCTTGAAGCAGACCTGCGTTCTTTCATCGATGACTTCGACAGCAAGGCATTAGTCCACCATTGCAACGAGTGCATTTGTCCGAGTTCATCGAGAACAGGCATTCCCTGCAACCACCGCCCGCAATGTCCGCGGTCGAAGAATTCAAACTGCAACAAATCGGGGCAGACTCGGAGCTGCCGAAGGGAGACACCCAGGACGTCAGCTCACAGAAGCTCCTTTCTTGAGTCCTGCGCCACTACCAGTAGAAATCCAAGATGGTGGCCTCCATACGTGGATGTCCGTCCTCGGAGATTGAGTCGGCTTTGTTTCTATCTGGGAGAGAGGGCTTGATCGCACCATGCTCAGCTTTACTGTGTTATTTTGCATATTCGGATGCTCGTACTCGTTTGGTGTCAATCAGGCGTACTTTACACTCGCTGGAACGTCCAACTCGTCCCAATGTCAGCTGGATCGGCTCTCTGCAGGTATGTCATAGGAAATTTCATACTGCAGTTACATTCATATATCGTCCCAGTATCAAACAGGTTGCGACAAGCTTGTATTCGACTGTCTGCCCCGACACCAGCGACAGAGCCTGAAAGCAAAAGAACGATATGCCATTTTCTCTGCGTGGATAACGAAGAAGAGTCACAAGGTGAACATGATGATCACTCGACAAGCCATGATGTCGGGACTCGCCCAATCTGGGCAATCCTTTTCTCACCCAAGTCACGATCGACTAAGATGGATTTTTCGCTTAGTACCATTGTCCGGACAAGTCTTTGTTGTCGCATCGCGGCTTCAAGTTTGGAAGAGAAACTGATAGAGGACTCCTTGAGAAATCGTCGTGGTGAGTCCTGAGATGCGGGCCACATCAGGGGTCGATGGACCGCTAAATCGGCGCCAAGCGTCCGTAGTACGGCGTAAGCCTGCCTGCAATTCTACACCGTGCCATCGCATACCCGGTAATTTCATAACGTCGGGTGGGGACAGCGTAGTGAGTGATCTGCCCAAGTATAAAGCTGATAATCCTTCGCCGTCAGTACAAGTGCGATGCAAGTACCATCAACGAGTACGCAGCTCACCTCAAGAGCTTCTTCCGGTCTCGTTCTCCAGCAGACCGTTCAAACACCGAACAACGATTCCGACACCTTCCTCCACGCTCGCCTTGTCGCATTCGACCACCCGAACCAGTACTCTCCCGAATCGATCAGGATGCCACCTCTTCAGCGCCGATTTGATCCTCTCCTTCCGAGACTGACCCTCCGAGTGCAAGGGCGACAGCACGAACGCCTTCACCGCAGACGGGGTTATCTCCTCGACCGACTGTGGCTCCGAGAACATCGGCCACGGAATCGCGCGAAACGTGAGTTCAGCGGGTGTCGCAGAAGTGGATGTGATATCCGCCCATTTTGCCTCGTACGCTTGTTGCCATGCCTTCTTGTCAGCTTCATCGCGCCGTGCGTTCTCCCGCTTCCTCCGCCTCTGCTCTCTAGCCGCATCCTCCGCTTTCTGCCTCTCATACGCAGCCCTACACCTCTCCGTTTCTAGCCTGGCCTGCTGCAATCGCCTTAACTGCTCTCTCATCGCGTCTTCCTGCTCTCTCAACCTCTGCGCATCTATTCTCCACGCCTCCTTGTAAGCTTGATGGTGATCGTCCCCGAAGAACAGCGAGCTCAAGGAACTGGTGTCAAACGTCGCGCGGAACGTATTGTCGCTGCGGAAATAGTGTTCTTGCTGCTGTAGCGCTCGCCGGAACATATCCTCGGTTTGGCAGGCCATCGCTGCCATGTCTTCTTCCAAGACCCGAGATAGAGTCTGCGCCATGTCATCCCATGGAGTCCACGGATTGGGATGGCTGTAGGTATCCGCGGTATGCGATCGTCGAAAAGGAATCGTCTGAGGCATCGCGTTCGTAGATGAATGATGTCTGTGGCGATGGTGAGAGTGCGAATGCTTCGAACGGTGATATGCAGCATCTGTGTATACACCGTTGTAGTTCATTTTGATCGGCGTATCGAAGGGCAGATCGCGAGTTGCAAGTTGGGTACGATTGAATGTCCGCGAAGAGGAGAGATGGCAAGAAGAGAACCGGCGGGAGAGAGAACATAAGTACTCGACATTAAATCACTGATGAATTGCATATCCTGATCTGGCCAATCTCTCGAGGCCCGAGGCTCACCCTGCTACTTCCTCGTGGTGTATCAAGGGCGTTGCAAGAAACGCTCCGAGCATGCCCTCGAAGGCGTGCCCTCCCGCCTCCGTGATCCGGTTATTGACCAACGCCCATATAATAGGTCATGAAATGACACTCAGTCGCGCTAATCAGTACGACATATTAATCCTGCGCACCTGAGGAGCAGCCCATTTGCACTAAAGAGGTACAGATCCCATCTCGTGCGTCTGATAAATTAGCCATCGCTACCGCCTCCAACGAGTGCGAGGCCGCGGTCTTACCGAAGGTGCGGTAGCTTTACTGCGGCGATAGTAAATTGCATGGCTGTTATCGCTGAAATGAAAGACACGAGCATCGTGCATGGCCTCCATCACCACTCTGAAGCTGCACGCATCAACCAACACCGACACGTTTGATGCTCGCGTTTCGAGCTCCACGCCGCAGTAGAGCACGATGCCATCATCGGTATTCTCACTCGGTCTCGCCAGCTCCAAGCACAAGATGTTTCTATTGGCAAGTCACACTAGCGCAGCAGTCCAATAGGTAATCACAAGGCAAGCCTCACGCGCCCGCTCAGAACCACCCAGACAACGGCGAATTCAACATCTCGATCGATCCGTCATATGTAACTCATTCAGCGACGATTTTAGAGCCACCAGAATGATGCCGAGGCGGCGACGGTATCGGGTCATCCGTCACGTAGTCCACCGTCTTGTCCACGTTAATTTGTAACTAAACCATGACGCCCATCAGCGACGAAGTACAGAGCATAGAGAGAAGAGGGGGACGCACCTTCGTGCCGGTGAGGTCGACTTCGTCAGCCTGCACAGTGCGTACCATTTCGTCAGAATCGGCTGTTTCTGAGGGTGGAGAGATCAACCTCGGAGGGGAAACGTACCGAGTCCCGTCTATCGTGAGAGATGTGATGGGCGAAGATGACTGGAAGCCGGTGTCCTTCCTCTTCCGAACTCGTCGCGTTCTGGGTGCGCAGCAGCTTCCGAGCGTTCATGCTGACGGAGGAAGGGTTCAGTGCGGACATAGAGCGCGAGTAACTGTAAGAGACGTACGATGCCAGGAAAGAATTAGCGTAAACTGCGAAATGCGAAAGGGCATGTGAGTGGACGCTGGCGTGTGAGATATTCATGGATCACCTACGTTTACTGATTGCAAAATGAAGGCCAAGATAGATAAGAGCGTGGGGCTTGACAAGCCACTGCAGTCAAGAGACCATCAGATCATACAAGATACGGATGCAGAATCGTCGATAGCACTCACAAAGATTAAGGAGAGCACAGTGGCAACGCTAAAAAAAACCGTCAGCAGCATACGCGCCAAATATGCGGAAAGGTTCTACCAGGTAATCATCCCATTCTCTACCGTGTACAGCGTCACGGAGTTCAAGATATGGTCTAACCTGTGTCAAATGTCAACGGGCGCTCCAAAATCGGCTGACACTCTGCCTACCGCCCACTGCCGCCGTGCCTGTTGATTCGCAAGAAAATACATAAACCGGAAGTGATCGTGATGTCAGCTGCGGTCGACAAGACCAGACCTAGCGTGAAGAGCCACTGCAGGGACTTGAACAGCTGATGTATGGCCGGCGGACCAATTGACTCACCCGATAGTGGGCGTAGAACTCGTAGTAGCTCCGTGCGCGGATCCTGTGAGTCAGCGATTAGCTTTAAAAACGGATAGAATTGAGATGGCATGGAAATGACCAACATTTCTGCAGATGTAGCTGGTACGAGATATTAAGCACATGAGCGCTCAAGAATATCGGACTTTCTTACCAACAGCGGACACTAAGGATAAGGTGGCCGATAAGTAACAGATATGGCGCGAGCGCAGGGTAACACACCTAATCGCCCGAAGGCCACAAGCACCTAGCAGAACCATATCAGAATATTCGAGGGTGTTTCCATTGTGAAATAATTGACGCACCATCGGGACAGTGATGAAGTAATTGCCCCTGCTGACTAGAAGCGTACCAATCTGGATCAATCGCTGGGTTGCCAACAGATGCACACCGTGACTCACGTCTCAGCAAGCGATAAGAAAAGAACCTAAGGAGAGGCTGCGTCAGTCAGGCGGCACGTTCACGGATATTTTGCACATACATGTGGACAACAAAAGTGGTGATCGCCTACGCAGTTTCATCAGCCCACCTAGCTCACAAGAAAACCAAAAAGACACACAGTCATTGCAATGGTGAGCTGTATGGAATTTTAGAAACGTCAGGCTCGGTCGTTCACAGTCGTTGGGGGAAACATACCCCAGCGGTCCTGTGAAGGGCTCAGCGACATGGCCAGTGTGATAGGACGGACGCATACGACATACCAGAATACGTGATCAGTTATATTCGCGTCTCCGAAACTGGATACGAAATATTGCCACATAGCCGCCCAAACCAGGCATGTGTGGAAGATATCTAGGGCACTGAACAATATTCAGCATTGGATTGCAAGATGCAGCGGGGACATACAAGATCGTTGCAACCTATCTTATAACGAGTGAGTATGTGGTCATATATGCGCGGCGCAATAAGCGTACAATTGTCTTTAGGATCGTAGCGTCCTTCTCAAATATACGTGCGTATAGAATAGTTTGCATCATGACCACGCCCGAGAGCCTTGCCGCGGTGTCAACCACACATCATATGGCATCAAAGTGCACGATAACTCACGCAGTCGCCGCCAAACCGCCAATTACGAGAGAGCCCAAGCTCGTGCGGGCATTTGAAGGCGTCACTTGCACCATCTTGCCAGAGTTGCCGCGTCACGTGCCACATGCAGCGGGGTGAAGAGAAAGGCGGGGAACGCAGAGTAGAGAATGCAGAGCGAACGGCGCGGGTTCCCGCCCTCCTGGCAGATTTAAGGGACGGTCCATGCCCGCGAGGGACAGGACGAAACAATCTCGATCATTAAGCGGCCGCTAACTATAGGAGGACGAACTAGCTGACCGGCGCGACTGCCGTGGCGGCAGGAGGATTTTCCTGCGTGTGTTCATTCAACGTGGCATCGTCCATATTGCTTCCGCCGCTCCGTCGGACGGTTGCACCTTCAGCGATAGCGCGTGCAGTAAATGTCCCGCGAGTCTGGCTGAGGAACCCGCTGGTGGCATCTTGCTCTCGCGACCACCGCAGACGCGCTCGGCAAAAACCGTCCGGCCGTCGTGGGTCGAGAACTTTAGAGAGGCATCGACGATCCCTGGGGCGCGCGCGGGGGTTCGCTGGTGCTATGGAAATTTGACTGATCGCCCCGGATACAATGATCTCGCCCAGACTAGCTCTACCCAATGGCGTCCAGAGTGCCCCACTCTCAGTGTGTCCTCGTCGCAAGACAAGAGCTGCATAGCTCGACTGGTCGGATCCGTTTCATTTGTAGGCTGCACCCACTCCTTGGGGGCCCCCGAATTGACGTCGAACGGGCCCGCCTTCTCAGAGAGAGGGGTAGATATCTTGATCACTATCGATTGTGCTGCGCTGACTGTCATGGACGATGGGCCATGTGCAAAGGGACTTCTGGTGCGTAGAACATCGTCGTCGGCGACGAGAGATCGTTGCTCGTGGGACGACTAAGTACTCACGACGGACTCCAATGGGTGGCCGGCGGTAGAGATCGGCACCAGAAACTCGGCGTGAAACCTGAGAGAATGGGGCGCTTACACCGTCAGCTTTCTTCGCATTCTGCCGTGTACCGGGCTCTGTAGCATGTCACGACGCACACGAGCGGAGACGTTTAGGAATCTCACCGAACTTGACATCCTCCGCAGACACAGCCTTATACTCATCTGATGCTCGGGTGTAGGCATGGACTAGACCCTCGAACAGAATACTCTTTACTCCCGCGTACTGCGACGTGTCCCGTCGCCGTTCCTATGCGCTCGCTTCTGCCGCGCATCGCGACACAACGCGTGCTCTCATGGCCAATTCTCACACCGCTGCTGTCACAGGGTACGACCGAGCGTCGTGGATCATATACTATGAGAATGCGCACAATACAACAATGACAGTACAACGATGATCAAGAAGAAACCTCGTACATCTAACTACAACAGGCGACAGCGCTCACTGGCCGCCACGGAGACGCAGCACCAAGTGGAGCGTGCTTTCCTTCTGGATGTTGTAATCCGAAAGAGTGCGACCGTCCTCCAGCTGCTTACCCGCGAAAATCAGGCGCTGCTGGTCGGGTGGGATGCCCTCCTTGTCCTGGATCTTCGCTTTGACGTTGTCGATCGTGTCGGACGACTCCACCTCAAGAGTGATAGTCTTACCCGTCAGCGTCTTGACGAAGATCTGCATTCCACCACGGAGACGGAGGACTATATGCGCACCGTTAGTCAAGCATCACCAAATTGGGTAGTAGTCAATACATACCAAGGTGAAGAGTGCTCTCCTTCTGGATGTTGTAGTCAGAAAGAGTACGGCCATCCTCCAGCTGCTTGCCAGCAAAGATAAGACGCTGCTGATCTGGCGGGATGCCCTCCTTGTCCTGGATCTTTGCCTTGACGTTGTCGATGGTGTCGGACGACTCGACCTCGAGGGTGATCGTCTTACCCGTCAGCGTCTTGACGAAGATCTGCATTCCACCACGGAGACGGAGGACTTTATGCGCGTCGTCAGTCAGGCATCGCCATAGCTAGTAGCAACAGAACATACCGAGGTGAAGAGTGCTCTCCTTCTGAATGTTGTAATCGGAAAGCGTACGGCCATCCTCCAATTGCTTGCCGGCAAAGATAAGACGCTGCTGGTCCGGAGGAATGCCTTCCTTGTCCTGAATCTTGGCCTTCACGTTGTCGATAGTGTCAGACGACTCGACCTCGAGGGTAATCGTCTTTCCAGTCAAAGTCTTGACGAAAATCTGCATACCACCACGAAGACGGAGGACTGATAAGGACGAATGAATACCAACACGGATGGAATGACCGACGAGACATACCAAGGTGGAGGGTGCTCTCCTTCTGGATGTTATAGTCGGAAAGGGTGCGACCATCCTCGAGTTGCTTCCCGGCGAAGATGAGACGCTGCTGGTCTGGAGGGATACCCTCCTTGTCCTGAATCTTTGCCTTCACGTTGTCGATCGTGTCAGACGACTCGACTTCGAGGGTAATCGTCTTGCCGGTCAATGTCTTGACGAAGATCTGCATACCACCACGAAGACGGAGTACTGACAGCGACCGATAAATATTAACACGAGCAGGATGATTGACGAAACGTACCAAGGTGGAGGGTGCTCTCCTTCTGGATGTTATAGTCAGAGAGGGTGCGGCCATCCTCGAGTTGCTTCCCAGCAAAGATGAGACGCTGCTGGTCCGGAGGAATGCCCTCCTTGTCCTGGATCTTCGCCTTCACGTTGTCGATGGTGTCTGAGGACTCAACCTCGAGGGTGATGGTCTTACCCGTGAGGGTCTTGACAAAGATCTGCATACCGCCACGGAGACGGAGAACTGGACGTTCACGTTAGCCGCTGTGGCATGACAAGCAATCTATAGCTACTTACCAAGGTGGAGCGTGCTCTCCTTCTGGATGTTGTAGTCCGAGAGAGTGCGACCATCCTCAAGCTGCTTGCCAGCGAAGATCAGGCGCTGCTGATCAGGGGGGATTCTGCAAGATCAGGCGGTCAGCCTCTCATCCAAACCACCTCTCATATCCTCAAATAGCACAAACTCACCCCTCCTTATCCTGGATCTTGGCCTTGACGTTGTCAATGGTATCCGAGGACTCGACCTCGAGCGTGATGGTCTTCCCGGTGAGAGTCTTCACGAAGATCTGCATGCTGCACAGGAATTCAGCGCCACTCGCGATATCGCGTACGCTGACGAGTACTCACGTTGTAAAGAGTTAGATTGATGGTGTGAGAGAGCGATGGAGGTAGTGGTGGTAGTTGGAAGGAGAGCAGCGTCGTCCACAGCCACGCTTATGAATGCCGCGGACGTTGCCGGACTCAGTCCAGATGCTGACGCCACCAAGCGAATAATCGCCGAGTCTGGCCTGATATGCCCGTGTCAGCTATCCTGATGTTCATGCTTGCGCACAAGAGGACTTGGGTTTATGCTTGGAGTACAATGCGCGGAAGCAATGCTACAGGCTTCAGTCGAACAACCTGCAACGTTAACATATGCGCATAATCAAGTTTTTAGTTTTTATTCTAAGGCCTCAAGCATTTCTGGATGATTCGTTGGAGCTGTGGGCACCATCTCTGTCGATTCACTCCGTTCTCGGGGCGGAACGTCTGCATGCATGCCCGTGTTTTTTTTGCATCTGTGTTGCATGAACAACCTACCTCGTCCGGACGACCCGAGAAGATCTATCCTATGTGCATTCGCACACTGCGATCCATGATCCATCCAGGAGACTAGCTTCGCATACACGGCCGACCTGCCACCCTTGAAAGCAGATGTATGGCGCTGTATGGCGCTTCTGTAGCTGCCATGGGTCAGCACCGATATCGGAGTACCGTTGGGTCTGTACATAAGTCGACCAAGGACTTTGTCAGCGCGGAAAGTCAGTCAGCAAGAACTCCGAGCACGTCATCTCACGGACCCTCAGCGAACACAAGGCTAGTGCTCTTTATATAAACCGGCCCTGCGTGATCTTCCGCTCACTCACCAGCCGTCTCGCAGTACTGTTACTTCCGCTCACTAATTGACTTCACCACTATCTCTCAGCTTTCATCACCATGTCATCCGCGGAGCCCGACAAAGTTAGTGCCACTCTCATGTACTATTCTCCTCCATTGGATGGTTCCAAGCCCTACAACAACATCAACGCGGATTCCTCAACCGGAAAGTTAAAACGCAACTACGGTGACGAGCCGCACGAGGTCGAGATCGAGAACCTCCGTGGAAGGGAGGACTCGGTGACGCTGGATACGGCGGGCTTTCAGTTCTTCCGCCGTGCGTCATCACACAAGGACTTCACGGATGATAGGGCGATCGAGGCGGAGTACTATCCGGAGAGCATCGCACTCGTCAAGGAGCTCATGGGCGCGAGCCGTGTGGTTCCCTTTGACCACAGTGAGTTCACATCTCGTCGGCTTACATATACCAGTGGCTGATCTTCAGCCAGCTATCCGCCGCCGTCGCCCAGGCGAGGTCGATGACGCGCCCAACAAGCGACAGCCAGTCCCGCTGGTACACGTCGACCAGACCACCGCGTCCGCCATTGCTCGCGTACACCGTCACCTCCCCCCAACTGACGCTCCCGTCCTCGTCCGGCGCCGCTTCCAAATCATCAACCTTTGGCGGCCAATCAAGTACGCCGCGTACGACTGGCCACTTGCGCTGTGCGACTATCGCTCGGTCGATCCAAAGGCGGATCTGGTGCCGGTGACGCTGGTGTATCCGGACAGGGAAGGCGAGACGCTGGGTGTCAAGTACAACCCATCCCACAGGTGGAAATACTTGCGTGGGATGGAACCTGACGAGCTTGTCTTGATCAAATGGTGAGTTCTTTGGATGCGGTCGCCTGCGGACGGCTGATCTGGTACGCAGCTTTGATTCGAAGACGGATGACGGGACTGCTCTGCTCACGCCGCATACGGCGTTCCCTGATCCGAGCACTCCCGAGGATGCACCTTACAGGGAGTCGATCGAGCTGCGCTTGCTGGTGTTCTATGACTAGAACGTCGTGTGGCATCGTATCTGATAGGCAGTGCTCGCCTTAGACCGTCTGTGTAATCAAGCATTTTCGCGCGTCGTTGTCATGCTCTTACGTTCTTGAACCACTGTTTCGGCTTCTCATTCAGTGGTGACTCATCTTGACGATCCTGTTATGACAACTTTGGCGACGGAGATCCTCAAACTTGAAGGACAAAATGGGATCTTCCGGCGTTGAAGATAAGTATTGAAATTTACGTCAGTAGCCTCGGCGAGACTCTCCGTCTAGTAAATGCGACCGCGCAACGTGCGCACTGTGCTCATGTGGCTTCCCCAAGCCAGGGACTGCTCCTTGGCGTCCAACTTACCAGCGACTCAGCACTTCTGATATTGGAATGGCTGGATTGCGTTTGGGTTGGCGTATCCACGACGAATAACTCGAAGACTTATACTCATTCCTAGACTCGATGTGATCCTTTACGTAACTGGCGGCCTCGAGGTTGGTACATGCTCAATTAGTTATTGTGGTTCCGGTCGCTCCTTTCGCCGTGCTGACTGTGACTAGCCTGTCTAGCAGCCAGGCAGATCTAGATTGGATGCATTCCGCATTTCAACAGGGTGAGTCTCACGATACCATCGCTCCAGCACACGAAAGAAACATGACACCTGTTCAGTGAAGGCCCACACTCATGACAGCCCCAGAAAAGCATGCTTGTCTACAACAGGTCAATGAGAGCCCCATCTAGCTCCTCCAATGTATTCACGAATATCCAAAGGCGAGCACAATCCTCAGCGACACTATGATACGGTGCCCTCACATGTCACGACATGTAATAGAGAACGCTAGGCATGTTCTGGAATTATGAATCAGATAGAAGCATGAACCTCATTGTGTTCATCGATCGCCACAGTCCGTCAAATATGGCAGCACCAGCGGACCCGGGTCATTCCTAACACCTCACGATACATCCCTTGCCCTTGTGACAATCGGGGAGCGGATGGCATTACATCCGCAGGTCCAGCGTGCCCCACGATCTGGCCCTTCGTCCAGTATAAAGAGGCTGTTGACAACCCTCTCATCATGGAATGATGACTACCATTCTTCCGACGTTATCTGCGAATCCGGTACTCATATGTGTCGTGCTGCTGTGTCTGGTCCTCCTCCGTTCTTGGGTACGAGCGAGGGACCGACACCTGCCTCCTGGCCCAAAGCGACTTCCTATTATCGGAAACGTCCTTCAGGTACCGCTCGAGAGGCAGGAGCTTACTTTTGCCGAATGGGGCAACAGATTTGGTATGCTCTGCTCGTAGAAGCTTTGCCAGCAGCTACTCAGGCGGAAGCAGGGGATGTCGTTTATGCACGCTTGTTTCATAAGCATGTCATTATCCTCAACTCCGTACACGCTGCTCGTGAGCTGTTGGAGAAGCGTGGTGCAATATATTCAGATAGGCCCCGTTTTGTGATGTATGCCGAACTGTGCGTTGCATGCAATTTTTCCATTCATCGTGATCGTTATTGGCGACGCGTCATGTTTCAGAATCAAGGCTTTTCACCCGAATCTTGTTCTCATGAAGTACGGCGATGCTTGGCGTCAACAGAGGAAGTGGTTCCAGGCGACTCTTTTGACCAGGACTGCACTCAACAGTTTCCAGCCAGTTCAGCGGCGAGAAATGGTGCGGTTCCTCTCGGAATTGATTCGAACGCCTAAGGACTTCGCGTCGCACATCAAGAGGTCAGCTCGATCTGTTCAGAACGTCGAAGATACTAACAGTTAGAACAGATATACGGCCGGCGTCTTGTTCGAGATCAGCTACGGACATACCGTCACGTCCGATGACGACGAATTCGTGGTCAAGGCAGACGAAGCCTTTACGGGAATTGTTGAAGCCGGTGGAGCTGGCTCGACTTTGGTCGACTTCGCTCCCATATGTAGGTGTTGTTTCACGCTTCTGATATCTACCCGTCGCACGTTATCTGGCGCTGACCACCCTCCTTCCAAATATGTCAACAGTGCAGTATATCCCAGCGTGGATGCTAGGTGCAGGCTTCAAACGTCAAGCCTTGGAGATCAGGCGGTCGGCATTTGAAGCCATGAACGTCCCATTCATGAGGGTCAAGGACGAGATGGTATGGTAAATTTCGTTACTTGTGTCACATTGTCTGAACGGATCCAGGCACGTGGCGCCGCAAAACCATCGTATGTGAGTAAATTGCTCGAGGAAACATCCACCGGTCCTACCAGTGCCGAGGACGAAATTGGTATCAGGGCAGGCGCATCCGTCATGTATCAAGGTAAGAGCGATGGAAAACATCCGGAGCAGTTTCTGAGTACACTCTCGTCCATTAGCTGGTATCGACACCGTTGGTATTGCTCTTTTACGTTTGGATCGAGGCTCACACGACGGTTTCAGACCGCTACAGCGATCACGTCGTTTGTCTTAGCCATGACTTTGTTCCCCGATATCTATCGGAAGGCTCAGGAGGAGATGGACGCAGTCGTCGGTCGTTCATGGCTCCCAACCTATACTGACAGACCGTCGCTGCCCTACTTGGAGAGCGTGTTGAAGGAGACGTTCCGGTACGCTCCTGCCCATCTCCGTGTTACTGTTCATTAGTTACTCTCATCGTCTTAGCTGGGCCGCTCCCGCTCCTCTTGGTATGTAGCATTCAAGGCTCAGCAGAAGGCATGATTGAACCGTCGTTCAGGTGTGCCTCACCAAGTCGCTGATGATGATGAATATCGCGGATACTACATCCCTGGAAGATCTATGATCATAGCGAACATTTGGTAGACCATTTCTTCACGTTCACAGTAAAGCCTGTCTTATTGATCTGCTAGGGGTATGACACGAGATCCGGAAATGTTTCCTGCGCCAGAGGTCTTCGACCCAGAACGCTTCCGCAAGACTCCCGCGGATACGGAAGACATACCCGATCCTTCCACATTTATCTTTGGGTTTGGACGGAGGTAAGACATGTATCCGTCAGTGTGCATCATGTATCGCTGCTCACATCGACTGCAGGGTTTGCCCTGGCCGCATGCTCGCTGACTCGAGCTTCTGGCTCATTGCAGCGAATCTAGTAGCAACGATGGATATTGGAAGAGAACGCAACGAGGCGGGACAGGAGGTCATCCCTGTCCCAGAGTTCATACCCGGGGCCGTAAGGTGAGAGTCGGGCCTAGCATTGATTGGCATTTGTGCACGAGAAACGCCAACCATTCAAATGCGTAGACACCCGAAGCCGTTCCTCTGTAGCATCAAACCTCGACACAGCAAGGTATCTCAGCTGCTCTCCCAAGCCAGCAGCGAAACCAAGTGAGGGATCGAGATCAGGATTCAACGCGCTGTACATGCCTGCTAAAAGGCTGTTTGTTCGAATTGTACGAATACTTTTGTCTCGGTTAGGT